TGAAAACAAAGATGGCTGAACTATGAAGTGACAAGTTAGAGTAGAAGGGGTCTTTTGACTTTTGGTATTTTAGGCCACTGATAAAAATAACTGATTTTCATGTGTTTAACATTTACTAAGTACAAAATACCAGGTATATCATTCTAATTAAGCACATTTTTCTATTTCTTAGCCTCATTAAACACTTATTTCGTTTGGAATGCCCTTAAACCCTGCTGAACCCTGGTCTGAGAAACAAAGATCTAAATAAGGCCAAAGAGCACCCGGGTTCACTGTTAAACCTCCTGCTCACTGTAGTATGAATCATGAATGTACTTTCACACAGGGTTTAACAGAAAGAAACAGTGAACCCTGGTCTAACGAATCCGTGTTTCCAGGGTTCGCCTAGCATGCCTTCGACTCTTTCTCAAGCAAGGGGACGCAAAACAAAGAATCTACTTCTTATGGCCTTATTTACGACCAAGATACGACGGCTTCCAAAAACATCGCGGTCGTAACTTACGACCTGTGGTAACTCGGTCGTAGCCTAAATATTTAAACTTACGACGAGTCGTAAGTTACGACGGTCGTAAGTTACGATTGTACCAAGAACGGCCCCCCGACGCTTTAACCAAGCTTTGTTACGCTTTGGTGCCGCTTTACAAGCCGCTTTAAAGCGCCATCAAAGCGCCGTTGGTGCGAACGTAGCTTGAACAGTTTACATGTTTAGTGCTCTTGCCGAATATCCCGCTTAACTCCGAGCTGTTCTACTACCTCTTACGACCCCGACGCTTTAATCAAACTTTGTTACGCTTTGGTGCCGCTTTACAAGCCGCTTTGAAGCGGCTATTTGTTCGCAAATATGTACAATTTCTTAAACATGTGATACTGATACACGTTTGTGTTAAAAAATGTCGTGGGAATTCTGCCTACAACGTATAAAATAAGGAAACGAGAAAAATCGTACCTTCGATGTTCCGACATTTTGTTACCAAAACGAACCGTTTTGGTAACCAGCGTAATCGAGTGGATCACCAGTGTTACCTGGAAAAGAAGATGCTATAAGAAATGCTTATTCCAGAATAGAGATGCTATAAGAAATACTTATTTGGGGATGGAGATTCTGTAATGAATGCTTATCTGAAAAGGGAGATGCTATAAGGAATGCTTATAAGAGAACAAAGATGCTATAAAAATGCTTACCCCGGAATTGAGAAGCTATAAGAAAAGCTAACCTGAGAATGGAGATGCTATAAGAAATGCTTACCTAAGAATGGAGGTAATGAAGTGGGCAATTTGCATCTCGTCACATTTTCAAAAAGATTTTATTTACATTTTATTGTTGATTCTTCTTTTTTGATCTTGAAAATAAAAAATGGACAATAAATATCAAAATGCTCCTCTCCTTCAATATTCCCTGATTTTCATTTTCAATATTTTCATATTTAAATCTCCCTGTTTTAGCAGAGACATCTCTTAGACTATCTGGTTTTAGCAATAAATATGACTCGGTTTTGTAAAAGCTTTTGAATTTCACATACGAGGGGTGATCAATAAGTAATGGAGGCTTTTTTACACAGATACTTTTTATCGACTAATCCCTTTGACTTTCTTACAAGTGATAGTTCATTCAACTATCTATCAATTCTGAAGATTTGAATACAAAATATGTACCGAATATTGATATATACTTATTTAGATGAAGGAGGTACAGGTATCCCGGGACTGACATTTACGTATATTTTTAGTTTTTAGACAGTCTGGCGTATTTCAGTTAGATTTCAACTTTTTGATATGCAATTTGTGTTGTGTTACATAAACAGTAAGTATTGTGATTTCAAAGTGTTGTATGGTTGGGGTTCGCAGGTCAATATGAGAAAACATTGTGGAAGAAGGGGTTGGTGGGGGAAAGAAGCACCCTACTCCATATGGACAATGCACCTGCCCAAAGATCTCAAGGTGTTCAGAATACAATATCCCTGGACCTCAATTGAGCCCTTGGCAAATGCATTATTTTTTCCAGATCTGCCCACATGTGACTTATTTATTTATATACTAGTACTATTAATATCTATAGAGAAACGAAGCAGGTTAAATGACATGATGAAACAAAACAAGCTGTGCCGCTGCATCTTCCTTCCACGTCAGAAAATAGATTCGACCTTGTCTCACAATCTTGGGTTAAGAGGATGAGGAAGTGTGAACACGTAGCACTTAATGGAACCTAGTGATGATAAAATATTCAAAATCAAGTATGGCATATCAAAATGGTGTAATTCATGACCATCATGGTTAGTTTTGTTCAGCCTGCATTCAACTGCATTGCATACTAAACAAGCTATCAAGCTTCAGAAATGTGTGACGTTATGTCGGTCACAGGGTACCTATACCTCCTTCACGGAAATAAAGATATATCAAAATATATTATATGTTTTGCTTTCAAATCTTCAGAGTTGATAGATTATTGAATGATGTACGTATCACTGGTGAGAAAATCAAAGGGATTGGTCATAAAAAGCATCTGTGTAAAAAAGCGTTCATTACTTATTGATCACCCCTCGTACGTTCTAATTCTGTTTTCTTATGCATCAAATCATTCTAAGTTTTATTATCATGCAATAGTTTCTTTGACTTTTCAATATAACAATACTCTTAATTCTCAAGGCAGTCGCATCTATTTAAAATCACGTCAAATATGTAACTTCTAAACGAAAATAGATTGATAAACTACTGTATATATTCATTGGCGTCCATTTTACTTATAGATGAAAATAAAATGAACAAAATACCAAGACATACTAGTTCTCCGACACAAAATGTAATGTGCATAAAATTTGATGTCTCTGGCTTCACATTGACATTAGAGAGGTTTCGCGCAACGGGTTGGCTAAAACGTATCCGCATCCGTATCTCGTTACGTTTACCGATACGTATTTCGATAATTTCCGTTTTGCAGTTCGTTTGCATGATTTTGTCACATCTGCTCTGTCTTATTTTTTTCAAAATAATAAAACGTTGAAAAGTACCGTACCCTTGTGTGATACACTAATTGAAAAATGACATTTACGTTAAATAATAATATATTTTTTATGAAATGTCAATCCTTTACATTGTATGTAAGTTTCGATTAACAATTTGAGTCTCATAAAATACGAATGAAAAGTTTTACGTTTTTTTTACCTCTTGTGATGACAGGCATAATTCGACCCGAAAGACTTAAGTTTTTTCAGCAAACGGCTTTTTAAAAGCATATATTATGCCACGGATTCCTATGGCGGATCCGGGGGGGCATGGGGCCCGGGCCCGGCCCCCCCCCCTAAGGTTGGCCCAGAAAAAAAAAAGTTGGGCCCAAAAAAATTTTAGGCCAAAAAAGGCCTCAAGGCCCCAAAAAGTGGGCCTTTTGGTCATTATTGGGCCTTCTAAGGCCTTTGTTTTTAAGTTTTAGGCCAAATTTTGAAAAAAATGGGCCTCAAATTTTCAAAATTTGGGCCCACTTTTCGGTTTTAGGGGCCCAAAATTTTATAGGCTGTTCAAAATAGTGGTCATTTAGTGAAGTGCAGTGACTGCATTAGGATGCTACAAAATACGTAAACATTTCTATTTTCGGTAGAAATGATATTTCTAATTAGTGTGTAAGCTACATATGCGTTTACTTATCTTTATAATTTTGACACCAACAACAGCTCAAACGGACCATACCAAAGCTTACAATAAATTATCAAAAAATATTTTCGATCTGTCAAGCTTTATATATCAAGTTTTTATCAATAATGACACATTGAACGATGGCAAAGTTGTTTGTATTGATACATTCATTCTTATAGAAGAGTCGCCATCTTTTAAATCAACAGTAATTTAAAACCTATAGCCTACATATGCATGGATGTCTAATGATCTCTAACGTGAATGCTTTTTTCTATGTGAGTTATTGTTTTCTTTGTTCAATATTTAAGCAAATTATTATTGTGCATAATAATGACTGTTGTTCTTTCTTTGATTCTTTTCTTCATGTAGGCGATGTACCAGGCCCGTAGCCTGAGTGGGAGCTGGGGGAGCGGAAGCTCCCCCCCCCTGGCCAGAAATTCTTTCAAAAACATGCAGTTTTTCACCATTCTGAAAATTTTTCGCATGATTTTTAGCCAAAATTGTGAAGAAGCTCCCCCCTGGAAAAAAGCTCCCCCTCCTGGTAAAAGCTGGCTACGGGCAAGTGTAGGCCTACTCATTTAGATCTTGGGGAGGGTCAGTTTTGATGGACATAAGGGGCTTCATTCACTTCTGGATTTGGTATGTCTTGGCACTGAGCTTTAGCATAGGATTTTTGCTCTTCATTGGTTTTTGTGGAAATGAGATTGTCTATACTTGTCTTTTGGCTTGATGATATCTCGGTCAGGGTATCCTCATTCTGATACTCAGACCATCTCTGCTATGCACAAGAGAGAAGGCTGTGATATCTCACGATGGGGTATCCTTGTTTCTGTTTTGAGTGTGTCAGTCAGACGGGTGATGACTGATGACAGATTTGAGGTTTATTATTGAAGGGTGTGGGCAGGTTGATTTAGCTCTACAAGAATTTGTGGTTCACAATTTTTACAAAATCAATGACGGCTGGGGGTTTGGGAGAGACATTTGAAAGTGTTTTTTTTTAATATATATTGTGACATATGGGGTAACATCATTTTCTACACTTCTCACTTAACCCTTTTCTTCTACTATCCCATGGTAACATTTTTATTGGTGGGGGGGTGCGATCGCACCCATCACACCTAGCTACGCCTATACTACTGTATCAAGTCAAGCCATCTTATTCTTATTAGATCATTCATGATCAGTACTCGAACTCCCGTGCAGTGATACCGAGACACTGCATTGGAGTTCGGATCAGTAGTCAGTACTATGTTGATAATTTTAAATTTCCCGCAAACTTTTCATAACCGGAAGTGAAACCAAATCGAGGCGAATGTGAAGTCTGATATTTTCTAGATATATTTTCTAGAGCCTATTTTGTACATGTTCATCGTGTAACTGCTAGAGCTGTTCTAAACCATACTTCATAAAAGAGAGCAGTCCTATCTGTCGACGTGAGTATGCTAAAATTGATCTGAATACATGCACTTGCCCTTGGCTTAGGCTCTGTGCTAGACCTGTACACTATCAGGAGACCATTGTGGAATAATATATGGAAAAGTATATTCATATTATGAATATACTTTTAGACTCTATTGCACAAAAAAACTAAAAAATCTGAAATATACAAATGTCATTCATGTACAATATGAATGACATTTGTATATTTCAGATTTTTTAGTTTTTTGTGCAATAGAGTCTAAGCCTGTGCTCTTACCTTCTTCTAAGGCCACTGTATCGTGGCCTTCCAGTACAGATATATTCCTACATGAACAACTGGTAATGTCGTAATCATAAAATTTGAAATCATATGTCCGCCATTTTTCCACATCACAATTTGAATTGCGAGTTTTGGTCTTATTACCTCACCAAAAATTCCAAAACACACACAAAGTGATCAGAGTATTAGTTCACACCTTCTGGATCGCTAACTTAGAATTTACAGCCAGTTACTAATGTCAGACGTAACGACATTTCGTCCAGTTTTCGAACATCGCCATTTTTCTTGGAGCCATTTTGTTTTAATTTTAGACGAAATCCTGATGAAATCATGTCATATCTCATCAAGGATTTGAGCTGGGTCCGGTTTGATTAATGATTTATTTATCTGGCGATTTTTAAAATATTCAATAAATTTATGACACCCCGGCAGCTTTTTTCAAATAGAGTTCACAGTATTCCAGATGAATCCCCTCTAGCCAAGTATTGGCTAGAGACTCGAGTAACTGTGCTCTCTTGTAATTTGAAGAATTTCAGCCATGTTTATCTTATTGAAAATAACATGGCAGAGAAACATCCAAATATAAGAGGCCACACACTTTATAAGCCAAACTAGAAGCAATCTAAGATATACAAATGTCATTCATGTACATTATGAATATACTTTTCCATATATTATTGCACAATGGTCTCCCAATTTCTTATTTTTGCCGTTCTACTGACGAAATGAACCAGTGAAATGGACTCTAGACTGTTTTATTGCGTCAGTAGAACCCCAAAAATAAGAAATCAGGAGACCATTGTGGAATAATATATGGAAAAGTATATTCATATTGTACATGAATGACATTTGTATATTTCAGATTTTTTAGTTTTTTGTGCAATAGAGTCTAAGCCTGTGCTCTCTTGTAATTTGAAGAATTTCAGCCATGTTAATTTTATTGAAAATAACATGGCAGAGAAGCATCCAAATATAAGAGGCCACACACTTTATAAGCTAAACTAGAAGCAATCCAAGATGGTTTTACTGACGCAATTAAACAGTAAAATGTTATCCCGTTCCAGACTATAGCCCTGTACTGAGCGCACACATTTGCCTGTACAATTACAACTTGGGAGAATTATCTACGCCCCTTCCACTTAAGAAACCTACCTCAATGCATTCTAGAACTCAAAATGTAACTTCTAATACATTGGAACCGCCGATTGTCTGGGTTAGTTGGCAGAATGAGGTCTTTTTGTTTCTTATGGCTCTTTTGGTCGAAGTTTGATTAAGATGGCGGTTATAACGGAATTTCCCGAACTTTCCGTAATAGCACGAACTTGGTATTTCGTTATGTCACTTCCGTGTAAAATGGATTTGTTTCCGGTAAGAGGGAATTTCGAAAATTTCGGACAATATTTACTGACATGTCGACATCCTATGCTCTTAACTGTATACCGAATGGTTAAACAATGTTTCTTACCGGAAACAAATCCATTTAAACACGGAAGTGACGTAACGAAATACTGGCTACAGTGTGGAAGCTTAACAGTCGCACCTCGCCAGAGGCGGAAATGAAAAGTGCTGGGCGATAATTTGTGATTTTTACTTGCCTTGCTTGCGATTATGGATTTAGAACGCTTTCAGGCGAGAATCTCGGCGACATACCCACGAGATATTGAAATGAGAATTTTAGCCCTCTAAAAATATGTCAGAAAAATGGAGAAAAGAATATTGTGGGGTTTCTCAGAAAGGTCACTAGATCTAAATATAAACTCCCAAATTGTATTTAAAGCTTTAGAATTTTGAAATAATTGAAAAATAGACAAAAACTGATCTGAGAATGACACTTTGTTCCTTCTTTTTGCCGGCATTTTTGTTAGAGGAAGTTTTTCCTTAATGTGTTACTCGTTCAATTTTAATATTTGTTTGAAGAACATTTTGTGAAAGGAGTGGTATCGATATGGAGAATTTTTTGAACACACGTTTCTCTTAAACCAGTCATAAAAAAATCTGAAAATTTAACACATCGTTAATTTAATGGTCATCTTTTGAATGGTAACAATATAATTTTTTTTTAAATATCTATAATCTTTCATCTATATTGTTTTAGAAAACACATCAAACACTTGTTTTGTTCTTGGTATCTTGTTTCCAGAGTGAAATGAAACATCTTTCCGAACCTCATTGGAACAAAATGACATAAACACAACATGTATAGGTCTCTCAATATTTCAATTGCACAAAGGAAATTTTGGTTGATTTTAAAAAAAGTATCTTGTTAATGAAATAAAAGGTTTATCTTGATTTTTATCTATTTTGGCGGGATTTTGAAAGGTGGGAAATTTAGTCGCACATGAGAAATACCAGGAGTACAGTATCAATTAAACAGTGTATAGATTGGTCTACATTAGAAATATTCTGTATTCTAGTGTCAAAGGAGATGGATTCTGGAGAATGCCAATTGAATGATAAACATGCAGACATGTACATCAAACAGGAGGATCAGTGTAACAATACAGGTAAATTGCAAATTGAAAAGGTTCTTTTAGTCATTATTGAAAATAAAGCAATATTACTGACATTCAGTAAGATAAGTTCACACCAACGGCGCTTTGATAGCGCTTTTTGATGTGGCGTGCAAAGCGGCTTTGCACGGCGCTTTAAAGCGCCATCAAAGCGCCGTTGGTGTGAACTAAGCCTTTCTTACGTATCTACGTATGTACTCTTTCTCAACACCTTCAGTGACGTTTCTTCTTTGGTCAACTGCTCAGTTGTTTGTGGGTTTTCAAAGTAACTCTACAATGCAATTTGAAGATGAGTACTTTTATTCTGTTATTGCACTGATGTTGCAGTTTGTAGTGCGGTAAGATTGGAGTGAAAGTGTTGAAAGTCTAATGAAATTATTATCCCATCACACAAAGTCGGAGGGATATAGGGAACGCCTCCATCCCTCTGTCCATCCGTATGTATGTCCGTCCGTCTGAGCAATAACTCAAATACCATTGGCCGGATTTTGTTCATATTTTGTACACATATACCCTATGGGGATAGAAGTTCTGCTTGAAAGCCCATTTTCAAAATGGCCACTCATTTAAATATGGCGGCCATTTTAGTGACTATTTTACAGTATTTAGGTGCAATATGTAAAACTGTAATAGCAATATGTTTAAATGTAAAAAAATTATATAGTACATTATTATTTATTATATCTTGGTTACCGCCATATTTGGCGAGCAAAATCTCATTGGTATATTCCGTATTCTACATATTTTACACTCGAAGACAGAGCCAGAAACCCCTCCTTGGAGGAGCCTAGTCATATAAATCTGACCCTCGTATGATGTTATTTGTTGTTATTTTTTTCTGATTTGGATATTTATTTTTCTTATTTTCTTGCATACGAGGGTCATAAACACGAGCGCTTCTATATTGCGGGAATTGCTTTCCTGGCATGTCTACCCAACCAAATTCACACAAATGATAAATTAATTTCTTTGCTTCAACTATTAAGTAATTAATCTTACCTTAGGCACGTAAAACGCTTGGTAATTGAAGAAATATAAGCACGCTGCTAAATTTTAAAATTTTCTTATTTTGCCTACCAAGGTCACTTCCGGGTTAATCTGATAGTCTAGATGTAAAACTATATCAAACGAAATCATAAGTCTTTGTTACACGAATATTCAGTTGAAAGGGAAGCAGTGTCGTTGAGAAGGGAAATTATTTGGAAAAGTTATTGTTTCAAAATAAGAAAAGTAATAAGTGGCAGAAAACGGCTTTGGAATCGATCTCTGTGTAATAAATAATTATGATTCCGTTTCGATACATGTTATACATTTAGACTACCGGAAACAACATTCAGCAACATGGCGGGCGATAATGAAAATATAATTCAATTGATTATATTTCGTCAATTATCAAGCGTTTTACATGTCTAAGGTAAGATTTAACACTTTGATGTTGGAGCTAAATAATTACGTGATGATTTGTGTGACTTTGGTTAGTATGGTAACTATGGTTACCAAGACAGGCCAGAAAAGCGTTTACCGCAATTTGTTCTATATAATATCTACGACCGTGTATGCAAAGAAAATGATAAAAAATAAATATCCAAATAAGAACAAGGAATATCGAAGAACAGCATACAACAGTCGGATTTATATGACTAGGAGGAGCCCTGTGTTCTTTTGTGTGCACAGGTACACAGACATACAGGTACACACCACAGCCTTTTATACGAGTCGTGAACCACTCAGTCAAACACCCAGAATTACATAACGCACAAACAAACTTGTCTGAAACGGGAATCGAACTTGGGGCCAAGGGATATTGGTAACCTTGGCTCTACCACTGAGCCATAGCGGGTGGACTATAAAAGCTAGAAATGTAGATATTAAAGAAGCACATGGCAGCCATCTTGAAAAATGTCTGCCTTTACTCGTTATTTTACAATTTTTGCTGTAACTCAAAAAGTAGTGGAGTGATTTTGTTCATATTTGGTGTGTGAATACTATAAGCATGGCACACTCTAATGAACTTTTTGGTAGAAGGTTGCCATTTTGAAAAATGGGGGGGGGGGGCGGACCCCTGGTCCCCCCAGATCCACCAGTGGGTATTGTAGTCCTTTGGGCTTTGGTATTGCATTGATACTGTAGATCGGGTTAATTTGGTGCCTGCTTTGATTTGGCAAATTTGGCGAAATTGAAAAATTCGCCAATATAAAACTTTGTCAAAATTTAGAATGAATCCCCGGGAATTATCTAGGGTATTACGTCCAGTGCATTTAGGATAAATTGGCTCAGAATTGGTCAGTCACTCAATAATACTCAATGAAAAATTAGGAAGGAAAAGTGTGGTATTAGTATCAGCATCGATCGAGGTGCAAAATGTAAAGATGATCTCACAACGTGGTGAATATCGCCAGTGGTCCTCAAAAGAAAAAAGAACATAGCCAAACATGCCCATTTACATGGTAATTCGAAAACAGCGCGTAAGTTAATTTTAAATTATTTTTTTTGCATATCCACCAAATTAAATAGCCGCCAAAATGCCAAAAATGGCAAAATCGCCAAATTAAGTAGCGCCAAAATAACCCATTCTACAGTAATTGATGTTTATAAAATATACAACCTGCATGAAATTGTGAATGTTATATTTTTTTTAATTTGATGAGGATTTATTAATTATTTGGTTTCTATTTCATTTCATATTGTTCATTGAGGAGAGCAAACACAGCGAGGCATCAATAGTGTTTCAATTCAATCTTGTTTAACATGATTTATATCACTGGCAATTTTCATACAGTTGTCCCACAATGGGATAAAAGAAAAAAAATTAAATCTATTTTTTATAACCCAAACCTTACTGATTTTATTAATTTAATAATTTGAACTAAACATTTGTTATTGAATCTTATTCTAGAGGAAATGGATTCTAAAGCAGAACATGATGATATAAACATCAAACAGGAGGATCTGAATATAAAGCTGAATGACGTAAATTATCAACAATTACAATATACAAATAATGAATCCACGCTTATTCAAGAAAACATTTATGTAGAAAGCACAGAAATCAAACAAGAACCTCTCTTTGGTTGTACAACTAAAAATGAAACATGGGGACGAAAGAATAAAAACAATGAGGATTACGTTAGCAATGAGGATTATGTTAGCAATAAGGATTATGCTTGCAATGAGGATTATCTTAGCAATGAGGATTTTGTTCACAAAGAAGATTTTATGAGCACAAAGGATCATTTTAGCAATGAGAATCATGTTTGCAAAGAGAATTGTGTTAGCAATGAGGATTATGTGAGCAATGCGGATTATGTTAGCAATACGGATTATCTTCACAATGAGAATTATGTTCACAAAGAAGATTTTGTGAGCAAAGAGGATTATGTTAGCAATGAGGATCACAGCAATGAGGATCACAGCAATGAGGATTATTATGTTGCTGTTGAACTTGATATTAAGAAAGAACCTTTGGACATTGTAAGCGAAGCAAACACTAATCTTGCTTTAGAGGAAATTAGGGGATGTGAAGTTGAGCAGAATGAAATATTGAACTCTGATGAACATATTGAAAGAAGTGCAGTTATTCCTGATGATTTATCTAATAGTGAACATGATATGAATGACAGAAGAGATCATACACTTGAAATAAGTTCAGAAACTTTGAATAAATCAATAGAATCATTCAGATGTGAGATTTGTGGGAAATGTTACTCTATCAAAAATGATCTTGACAAACATGCTTTGAAACACACCAGAGAGAGACCATTTCATTGTCACGTTTGTGAAAAAAGCTTTACGTCCTCACTTTTGTTAAAACGTCACATCTTGAATTTGCATTCAGATTCAGATAAAAAGCCTTTTAAGTGTAAAAACTGTTCAAAAAGCTTTCTGTGGTCTTCCAAATTAAAAGTTCATGAACGAATACATACTGGGGAACGACCATTACAGTGTAAAGTTTGTGGTAAATGCTTTAATAATTTAGGTTCTTTTGGCTTTCACCAGTTGACTCATTCTGGAAAAAAAACTATAAATGTAAAAACTGTTTCAAATGCTTTTTAAGATATGATGATTTAAGAAAGCATGAAACGATCCATACAGACCTACGACCATATGAGTGCAAATTTTGTATGAAAAGATTTAGATTATATTGTACTTATACACAACACAAAAGAATACATGGTATAGATAATAAATTTAAGTGTAAGTTTTGTGGGAAATATTCACAAACATTGCAAGATTTGAGAAACCATGAAATGATCCATACTGGTGAGAAGCCATTTAAATGCAAAATTTGTTTAAAAAAATTTAGAGTAGCTGGAACTTTGAAATGCCATATGCTTTTACATACTGGAAAACCCTTTAAATGTAAAGTTTGTGGTAAAGGCTTTCAAACGGCTCATGCTTTGAAGGCACATGAAGCTGCTAAACATACTGGAAGTAAGCCTTTTGAATGTGATGTTTGTGGAAAATGCTATGTTGATCGTTACAGCTTGAAACATCATAAAGTTACACATACTGAAGACAAGCCATTTAAATGTAAAGAGTGTGAAAAATGTTTCTTTTTCTCAAGAGCTTTGAAGGAGCATTCAAAAGTACACAGCTTGGAGAAGCCTTTCAAATGTGCGATTTGTCAAAGGGGTTTCATACGACAACACTCTTTAGAAATTCATAAAAGTGCTCACCATGAGGGCAAACGTTTTAATTGCAAGCTGTGTAAGAGTTCTTTCCTTTACCCAAAGTCTTTAAAAATACATGAAATAACATGTGAAAGGAAAACAAGAGGCTTTAAGTGTCACATTTGTGATCAATCATTTCGGAAATTTAGTGCCTTAAAATCACACAGACTATTGCATAATGAAAATGTGTACAATTGTAAAATATGTGATAAGGTGTGTGAAACCCCTGGTGATTATGAAACCCATCAATCTTTTCATTTAAAAGAGAACAAATTTAGATGCAAATTCTGCATGAGGTATTTCAATGACTGTGATGCATTAAGATTGCATGAAATGTTCCATACTGGAGCAACACCATTCATATGTAAACAATGTCAAATGGGTTTTGAAACTAGAATTGAATTGAGAAAACATGAGATACTTCACTCTGCCAAACAGAAACTTACTAAATTTGATAAGGAATTCAAATGCAAAGTTTGTTCAATGACTTTTATGCAGACTTCTACGTTGAAAATCCACGAAATGACACATTCTGAAGAAAAAACAATTAAATGTTCAATATGTGATAAGAAATTCTCCAGACCATTTGACTTAAAGATTCATGAAAGGGTCCATAAGTAACTGAGATCATTTGTGTTCATCATTATGTTATCAATATGCTTGAATGTATTAAAAAACTGTATGTATATCACTTGTAATAAAATAAAAACCAGAATACAAATAGTGACAATTTTTGTGCAGTCATATTCTAGTACACAATACAATTTAAAAGTTAACTGAAATAATAAATCATGTTGCTTTATGATTGTAACTAAAAATAAATTCATTTGGAGAAGTATACAGTATGTTCAATACAGAATTTAAGCCATGGACTCTATGCATTGTTGACTGGATCACAAATATAATAGAAGATTAAAGTGAAAGTTAACAGCATACTGAGTATACCACATATAGTATCCTGATTTATTGCCAGTTTGTAATTTCATTAAAATGCATAAAATTTGTATAACACTCCTGGTCCTTTGGTATTGCATTGGATCTAATGTTTATAAGATATTAGACCTTTGTGAAATTGTGAATGTTATATTTATTACAATTGATGAAGATTCATTTATTTTCTTTTTCATTTTATATTACTTTTCCTCGAGAATTGATAAGGACAAACATACTGAGTTTTAAATGTTTCGATTCAATCTTATTTACCTCGATAATATCACTTGCTATTTTCATACAAATGTACCAAATTTATGTCATTTATTCACAATAATACTGACTTTATAGTAATAATTCAAGCTAAAATAAGGTTTGTCTTCTAATTCCAGAAGAGATGGGTTCTAAAGCAGAACATGAGCGTATTAACATCAAACAGGAGAATTTAAATACTGCAAATTACCAAGAATATTCAAATAATGATTTCACAATTATTCAAGAAAGCATTTATGTAGAAAGCACAGAAATCAAACAAGAACATCTCTTTGGTTGTACAACTAAAAATGAAATATTGGAACCAAAGGATGAAGTCAACGAGGATTATCTTAGCAAAGAGGATTACTGCAATGAGGATTATGTTAGCAATGTGGATGACGTTGCCGTTGAACTTGATATTAAGAAAGAACCTTTAGACATTGTAAGCGAAGCAAACACTAATCTTGCTTTAGAGGAAATTAGGGTATGTGAAGTTGAGCCGAATGTAATATTGAACTCTGCTGAACATATTAAAAGAGATGCAATTATTCTTGATGATTTATCTAATAGTGAATATAATATAAATGACAGAAGAGATCATACACTTGAAATAAGTTCAGAAACTCTAAATAAATCAATTGAATCATTTCGATGTGAGATTTGTGGGAAGTGTTACACTATCAAAAATGATCTTGAAAAACATGCTTTGATTCATACCAGAGAGAGACCATTCCATTGTAAAGTTTGCGAAAAAAGGTTTACCTTAGCACGTTTGTTAAAACAGCACATGTTGGTTATGCATAATGACAAAAAGCAATTCAAATGTAACACCTGTTCAAAAAGCTTTCAATGGCCTTCCACTTTGAAAGTTCATGAACGAATACATACTGGGGAACGACCATTACAGTGTAAAGTTTGCGAAAAAAGGTTTACCTTAGCACGTTTGTTAAAACAGCACATGTTGGTTGTGCATAATGACAAAAAGCCATTCAAATGTAACACCTGTTCAAAAAGCTTTCTGTGGTCCTCCGCTTTGAAAGTTCATGAACGAATACATACTGGGGAACGACCATTACGGTGTAAAGTTTGTGGTAAATGCTTTAATAATTTAGGTTCTTTTGGCATTCACAAGTTGACTCATTCTGGAAAAAAAACCTATTCATGTAGAAACTGTTTCAAATGCTTTTTAAGATATGATGATTTAAGAAAGCATGAAACGATCCATACAGACCTACGACCATATGAGTGCAAATTCTGTATGAAACGATTTAGATTGTATTGTACTTACACACAACACAAACGAATACATGGTATAGATAATAAATTTAAGTGTAAGTTTTGTGGGAAATATTCACAAACATTGCAAGATTTGAGAAACCATGAAATGATCCATACTGGTGAGAAGCCATTTAAATGCAAAATTTGTTTAAAAAAATTTAGAGTAGCTAGAACTTTGAAATGCCATATGCTTTTACATACTGGAAAACCCTTTAAATGTAAAGTTTGTGGTAAAGGCTTTCAAACGGCTCATGCTTTGAAGGCACATGAAGCTGCTAAACATACTGGAAGTAAGCCTTTTGAATGTGATGTTTGTGGAAAATGCTATGTTGATCGTTACAGCTTGAAACATCATAAAGTTACACATACTGAAGACAAGCCATTTAAATGTAAAGAGTGTGAAAAATGCTTCTTTTTCTCAAGAGCTTTGAAGGAGCATTCAAAAGTACACAGCTTGGAGAAGCCTTTCAAATGTGCGGTTTGTCAAAGGGGTTTCATACGACAACACTCTTTAGAAATTCATAAAAGTGCTCACCATGAGGGCAAACGTTTTAATTGCAAGCTGTGTAAGAGTTCTTTCCTTTACTCAAAGTCTTTAAAAATGCATGAAATAACATGTGAAAAGAAAACAAGAGGCTTTAGGTGTCACATTTGTGATCAATCATTTCGGAAATTTAGTGCCTTAAAATCACACAGACTATTGCATAATGAAAATGTGTACAATTGTAAAATATGTGATAAGGTGTGTGAAACCCCTGGTGATTATGAAACCCATCAATCTTTTCATTTAAAAGAGGACAAATTTAGATGCAAATTCTGCATGAGGTATTTCAATGACTGTGATGCATTAAGATTGCATGAAATGTTCCATACTGGAGCAACACCATTCATATGTAAACAATGTCAAATGGGTTTTGAAACTAGAATTGAATTGAGAAAACATGAGATACTTCACTCTGCCAAACAGAAACTTACTAAATTTGATAAGGAATTCAAATGCAAAGTTTGTTCAATGACTTTTATGCAGACTTCTACGTTGAAAATCCACGAAATGACACATTCTGAAGAAAAAACAATTAAATGTTCAATATGTGATAAGAAATTCTCCAGACCATTTGACTTAAAGATTCATGAAAGGGTCCATAAGTAACTGAGATCATTTGTGTTTATCATTATGTTATCAATATGCTTGAATGTATTAAAAAACTGTATGTATATCACTTGTAATAAAATAAAAACCAGAATACAAATAGTGACAATTTTTGTGCAGTCATATTCTAGTACACAATACAATTTAAAAGTTAACTGAAATAATAAATCATGTTGCTTTATGATTGTAACTCAAAAATAAATTCATTTGGAGAAGTATACAGAATGTTCAATACAGAATTTAAGCCATGGACTCTATGCATTGTTGACTGAATCACAAATATAATAGAAGATTAAAGTGAAAGTTAACAGCATACTGAGTATACAACATATAGTATCCTGATTTATTGCCAGTTTGTAATTTCATTAAAATGCATAAAATTTGTATAACACTCCTGGTCCTTTGGTATTGCATTGGATCTAATGTTTATAAGATATTAGACCTTTGTGAAATTGTGAATGTTATATTTATTACAATTGATGAAGATTCATTTATTTTCTTTTTCATTTTATATTACTTTTCCTCGAGAATTGATAAGGACAAACATACTGAGTTTTAAATGTTTCGATTCAATCTTATTTACCTCGATAATATCACTTGCTATTTTCATACAAATGTACCAAATTTATGTCATTTATTCACAATAATACTGATTTTACTACGCAAACCTTTACTACTTACACTAATATTGCCACTATGTGCTAACATCCACCATTGAATCTATCTATGGCCAACTTCCCGGGAATTTCTTGAGCATATTACACTGTGCACCCCCGCACACATGCCCGGATATTCCTCAATTATTCCGCCATTTTCCTATTGTAAAGTCGGAAATTTTAGAATCGCAATAAATTTACAAATAACTTGTGACTATGGACACGGAACTAGGAAGTTAGTTGTTCTACAGGTTCATCAGTTACAAATGAAAGTAAGAGGACGAGGAAAATAGATCATATGGAACTATAAGACAAGTTTTCAAGGTTTTTTCTTTGGGTTGTTAGTCCACAAAGAAAACATCTGATATATAAATGTCGAAGATCTTCACTCGTTCGTTTTTTCTTTGCTTGCTCCATATAGGGTCTTCAGTCCCGACATGAGATTATAGTAAGCATATGGAAAAGGTCTCTAGTGTCAATTGACCTTTTTCCAGACAATTTGTCATATATAAATGACAATTTCACAGGGGTCATTAGACCATCAGAAGACATCATGTACAGAGAACGTAATATTACATGTTCTTCTCTGTGTTATGTTACATGAGAGGTTTTCAATCCAGATAAGAAAGTAAGGAAGCCCGAAGAAGGTAGACACTGTGTTTATGCCTACAGTACCTTGCCTTACATTGAGGTCTTTCTTTTGGTTGTCAGTCCATAAAGAAAACATTAACTGTTCAAGTTTACATAGCTCTCAATTCTTCGTCTCTGTATTTATCACATAAACGTGTTCAGTTCCAGATGAATATGAGAAATTTGAAAAATATCTACATCTACATCTGAAGATGGCTTCTTTACTGCTGAGGTGTTTTGGTTGTTAGTCCACAATAAAAACACATATGTGTTCAGGAGAACGCAGACGAAATGGCTTCTTTACTGCTCATGTGTTTTTTGGTTGTAAGTCCACAATGAAAACACATACATGTTCATTAGAACGCAGTTATCATCTCTTTTCTTTATGCATAGTTTATAAAAGGACTCCAGTTCCGATATGAATTATGTAAACATGAAGAAATAAATACACCAGTAAATTTGTCTTTCGGGATTTGACATGTGTCGAGCATAGACTGTATGATCCTAAGATGAAGAAGATATTTCTTCATCTTACAGTAGCGTGATCACGATGATGTTCAGATGAAGACACTTGGTTCACATACATTTAAATGTATTTAGAAAATAACATTGTATGTTGTAAAACCTGGTGTAGTATGCATACATAGAACACGTATGCTGACCACAGTATAATTAGTTTATTTAGTCCATTTAGTTTTTATACTAGTTATGCGCAGCAGGATAAGTTTGTCACTTATGCATTTGGTACAGTTATTTCTGGACTGAGTTGTTTGTCTACTGTTCAGAAAAAGGATAGGCTAAAGATTAACAAAAGTAACTGTAAGGTTTACAGTAGGCCTACTGTGAAGTCGTCATCTTCTTCACAGAAAAGACCAATATAGCTTTTTAGCCTACTCATCTTCCAAGTAGATCTTTTCGAATCAGAGACCTATAAGTTATTGTCTCTGATTGAGCGTTCCTGTTTTCCCCAAGTAATTGTAGATGTTGCTATTACTATATGCTGAAGAAAACGATTCATGGATGATCACAATCATCCTGTTATTGGTTGATTCCGTCTCTTCAACAGAGAAGTAGAAGGTGACTTAGATTGTTTTAGTTTTGAGTCACTAGACTATTCTTCTAGCTATATTAGCCAACAACTGAACAACACAAGTAATTATTCATATAAGAAGTGTTGTATGCGTTGACAAATGACAATGTCATGAACTTGTCATTTCTGAGTTTCTGACTGAAATCTTTATATTCTCAAGAATCATTTCTGAATACTCCTATTTAGACTCTATTCCTGGAATATTAACGTTCAGAGTTGAGTTGGCGGAAGTATCTTTGACATAGGTTACTTTCGCCAGATGCTTCTCATAAAGCATTCAACACAGTGTTAATTGTTTGAGGAATTAAGATTACAGTCGAGGTTTTTTGAAAACTTAAACATTTGGCGGCTTTCAGTTTGCCAGTTAAAGTAAGGTTATGTCTAAAACATCACCTCAGTAAAGGTTTTGTTTCCTTTATTTTTCTTAGCCTTGACAGCTTTTGAAGTCAAAAGTTGATTATTGAAGTCTAAGATGAATTTTCAGATCTCTTGGTAAGTCAGTTCAAGAGACTGTAAATCAAATTCTGTGTTTTTCACTACAACCTTGGGTGTTATTCCAAAGGTTTTATTTTGTGACGAGGGGAAGTAGTTATACTTACTTATAACAAGTCCCTATATCTGTATATCCAGACCATTGGCCTGTTTGCTACCACATCACACACAGAATGAATATTTGTTTATTTTGACCTTGTTCAGGTTGCTCAGTTTTTAAACACGGTTTAAGTTTAATCACTGTTTTGAAGAGTGTTTTACTGAGCCAGCCTCAGTCATGACAGTATCATCTTCAACAGGTTCACAGTCGTGCCGTGCTTCTGTGTAAACATTTGTGTCTTAAATAGCCACACATTTACTTTAAATCAGTGTATCATCAGTGTTCAGTTCAATCACTATTTGAGAGATCTTACATTTTGATTAGAGGTTTATGTTTTTTCACCATGGAATCACTTGTTACCATGTTTCCTTGGTGGTAGAACCTCAATACATCATTTAGTGGTACTGAAGTACTATATACTCAAGAGCTAGTGTACTCTTTGTTATAGACATGGTTTCGTTTGTCTTGACATGAGCTCTTCCAAACAAGAGATTCAGACTTACCTTTTTACGCATTGGTCAATTAATATTAACAGTGGCAATTTTCACACATATGCCAAAAATTGTCGTGATCAAATTGTGACCAAGTTATTTTTGTAACAGTCTCATGATTTTAAGAATCACAGACATTTTCTGCTGACTGTTATACATATGTTCTTTAACGGAAATCACAGTCGTTTCCGTGCGGTTTTGGAGATATTTCTATACGAATTATCTTCAACTCCATCTATACTTTATCAAATAGTTTCATTTTTGAGACAGTATATTTTTTCAGATGTTGTTTTGAGTAGAACACTGAATTAAGGAATCGTCCTGTCCTGAGACTAGTAATGTCACTACCCCCTTAATAGGACAAATATACATCTAAGGTTTATGATGTCAAGATTCCAAGTAATTAACAAGGCATTTTGGTGCCCTGTCACAGGAATGTAAATTCTCAGGAACCACATAGTCATCGGTTCGATTCCTATTAGCTACTGTAGTTTAGTGGTGTTTGCCTATTCTATTTGGCAATTGAATAAGGCTTTTAACGTTGCTTTATTTTCCTCTGTACCATTCATAATTGAGGCAGATGGTGGTCAACCTCTTGAGGTGTTTAACAGAGGATTTCAATGCGAGAATAATTCTCGTTTTATTTATACATGTTATATGGGAACGGTTCTTGAACACTTACAAGGTAGATGAAAGTTGCCCAAGAACATTTTTGTGTTCAAAGATGCAAACCATAACGTAGTTGTTAATATCCACGTTGCTTGACAGCTAGACTATCCTTCAAAATCAGGGTTCATTTTCAACAAGAGAAAGTGAAACACCTGTTGATTTTAAGGATGAGAAGCGTGATGGGGTTTTTAACACCTATATGGCAAGAAAGCAATACTGTGACATCTGACACTACAGTTCAATTGATGTGTAACACTAGTTACTATTAGACATCAAGACGTCTCACTTGAATTGTTTGTTGTTCCAGATTCAAAGAATATTGATGTTTAGAACATCATAGTCTTATTAATGTGAGCTTGCATTTCCATTGCATTCTAATGAGTTTATTTACTCATATTTTAGTCATAGTATACATGTTTGTGTATGACTAAACAGCAATATTAGAAGATACATGAAACGTATATCTTCCCTAGCAACTTTGTGGATAAATACATTGCAGGTGTTTCTTATCTAGAGACGCAGAATTTTTTATCACACTATATATGCTATAAGACTAGAATGCCACTGAATTACATGGTAGTCGTCTTATTTACCTGTAATTGTTGTAATTTGAACTCTCTAATGATATATTCTATCATGATATCGTACAATTTGTTCTAGTAAATTGTCAGCATATATCAGAGGAGGGTTTTCAGAACCAGTTCGTAAATGATCTTGTCCTGATAACTTCTTCTAGAGTCGAATGATTCTTTAAGGTTTTGAGTTAGTGTTGTGGTTCAGTTGAACTTATTCACTCTTAACCATTATAATCTCTTTCTTGGGTCTGTACCAAGATCTAGGATTGTTTTCAGCAGGTATCATCTAGACATGTTTGGATACATGACTATCTTTAATTTACCGATTTTTTCAGAACGTGTTCGGTAATATGCACAGTTTTATTGTTGAATTGTAAACAACCAAGCATACTCGACTAATAAGGAGGGTGTACATGGGTTCTTCAATGATTGAACATGTGATCCTAATGGCAATGAGTAAATGATGAATCTCTACGTAGTTTATCATTCAGACATAGCTTAGCCTTTAAGGGTTACAATGCTTTGCAGAAGCACTCATACCAGATGTTTAATATTTAAAGATGTAATTGGGATTTCGGAGTTATCACAATCCCAAGAATATTTAAACAACTGGTGTTCATAGTTCGAAGATCATAAAGAGTCCAACATATGGTAACCGATGTAGTACTTCGTCTCACCTTTACTCAAAAGAGAGAACGAAAAGTTTGCATTGATTTGAAGAACCAGATACATTTAAGGAACTTCAATATAATTCCTTTAGATCTTTTAATCAAGCAATTATTAGCTGTTATCTATATACGTACAAGGTATACAGAAGTATAGAAGGGTCGAAAAGTAAAGAAGGGTCGAAAACGTTATTTCAAGACCAGTAGCTACTTCTTCAATCTTTGTTTCTAGAAGTCGAGTGGAAGATATGTTTAAAGCAGGCACAATGGGCAGCTTAAATTACTTCCAAGTCATGTATGTAAGTCTAAGACATGTAAGACTATGCTAGAAAATATTCTGACATTTTTCTTAACTTTATGGCCAATCAGAATGTCAGAATTTGTACTGTGGTATAAGTTCGTTGTTGACCTTTGGTGGTTGAATTACCCCGCCATAGATAGACGTCCGTTTTTTATTTATCATAGTGGCCATTTGAGTCATATATGAAATAATACTCAGTAGTTTTTTAGCATAGTGAATCTGAATTATTAGTTTTGTTAAGTGTTTAACACAGTTTAAACATTTCACCCCAGAACTTGTACTAGGTTATTAAGTTCCTTAGTCCCGAAGGCTTTAGGATGTAAAGTTGGGTTACCTAAAGTTGTAGGGTTGATCAATTTGTAGTTTGTTGCAAATTTATTCTATTCCCGTGGTCTTTCTGCTGTTTAACCCACCGCCTACTTGGCTGGGATTCAGCACATAGTGGCAATATTAGTGTAAGTAGTAAAGGTTTGCGTAGTAAAATCTTAAAATTTAAAGTAATTTTAGTTTTTATTAGTAAACCATACTTACCTAATATTGCCACTACAAATATGTCCCTCCCTCCTACTCCGCTTACAGCAGACTTTTCATAAATGTTATAGCGGAATAATTGAGGAATATCCGGGCATGTGTGCGGGGGTGCACAGTGTAATATGCTCAAGAAATTCCCGGGAAGTTGGCCATAGATAGATTCAATGGTGGATGTTAGCACATAGTGGCAATATTAGGTAAGTATGGTTTACTAATAAAAACTAAAATTACTTTAAATTTTAAGACTTTATAGTAATAATTCAAGCTAAAATAAGGTTTGTCTAATTCCAGAAGAGATGGGTTCTAAAGCAGAACATGAGCGTATTAACATCAAACAGGAGAATTTAAATACTGCAAATTATCAAGAATATTCAAATAATGATTTCACAATTATTCAAGAAAGCATTTATGTAGAAAGCACAGAAATCAAACAAGAACATCTCTTTGGTTGTACAACTAAAAATGAAATATTGGAACCAAAGGATGAAGTCAACGAGGATTATCTTAGCAAAGAGGATTACTGCAATGAGGATTATGTTAGCAATGTGGATGACGTTGCCGTTGAACTTGATATTAAGAAAGAACCTTTAGACATTGTAAGCAAAGCAAACACTAATCTTGCTTTAGAGGAAATTAGGGGATGTGAAGTTGAGCCGAATGTAATATTGAACTCTGATGAACATATTAAAAGAGATGCAATTATTCTTGATGATTTATCTAATAGTGAATATAATATAAATGACAGAAGAGATCATACACTTGAAATAAGTTCAGAAACTCTAAATAAATCAATTGAATCATTTAGATGTGAGATTTGTGGGAAGTGTTACACTATCAAAAATGATCTTGAAAAACATGCTTTGATTCATACCAGAGAGAGACCATTCCATTGTAAAGTTTGCGAAAAAAGGTTTACCTTAGCACGTTTCTTAAAACAGCACATGTTGGTTATGCATAATGACAAAAAGCCATTCAAATGTAACACCTGTTCAAAAAGCTTTCAATGGCCTTCCACTTTGAAAGTTCATGAACGAATACATACTGGGGAACGACCATTACAGTGTAAAGTTTGCGAAAAAAGGTTTACCTTAGCACGTTTGTTAAAACAGCACATGTTGGTTGTGCATAATGACAAAAAGCCATTCAAATGTAACACCTGTTCAAAAAGCTTTCTGTGGCCCTCCGCTTTGAAAGTTCATGAACGAATACATACTGGGGAACGACCATTACAGTGTAAAGTTTGTGGTAAATGCTTTAATAATTTAGGTTCTTTTGGCATTCACAAGTTGACTCATTCTGGAAAAAAAAACTATAAATGTAAAAACTGTTTCAAATGCTTTTTAAGATATGATGATTTAAGAAAGCATGAAACGATCCATACAGACCTACGACCATATGAGTGCAAATTCTGTATGAAACGATTTAGATTGTATTGTACTTACACACAACACAAAAGAATACATGGTTTAGATAATAAATTTAAGTGTAAGTTTTGTGGGAAATATTCACAAACATTGCAAGATTTGAGAAACCATGAAATGATCCATACTGGTGAGAAGCCATTTAAATGCAAAATTTGTTTAAAAAAATTTAGAGTAGCTGGAACTTTGAAATGCCATATGCTTTTACATACTGGAAAACCCTTTAAATGTAAAGTTTGTGGTAAAGGCTTTCAAACGGCTCATGCTTTGAAGGCACATGAAGCTGCTAAACATACTGGAAGTAAGCCTTTTGAATGTGATGTTTGTGGAAAATGCTATGTTGATCGTTACAGCTTGAAACATCATAAAGTTACACATACTGAAGACAAGCCATTTAAATGTAAAGAGTGTGAAAAATGCTTCTTTTTCTCAAGAGCTTTGAAGGAGCATTCAAAAGTACACAGCTTGGAGAAGCCTTTCAAATGTGCGGTTTGTCAAAGGGGTTTCACACGACAACACTCTTTAGAAATTCATAAAAGTGCTCACCATGAGGGCAAACGTTTTAATTGCAAGCTGTGTAAGAGTTCTTTCCTTTACTCAAAGTCTTTAAAAATACATGAAATAACATGTGAAAGGAAAACAAGAGGCTTTAAGTGTCACATTTGTGATCAATCATTTGGGAAATTTAGTGCCTTAAAATCACACAGACTATCGCATAATGAAAATGTGTACAATTGTAAAATATGTGATAAGGTGTGTGAAACCCCTGGTGATTATGAAAGTCATCAATCTTTTCATGTAAAAGAGAACAAATTTAGATGCAAATTTTGTATGAGGTATTTCAATGACTGTGATGCATTAAAAATGCATGAAATGTTCCATACTGGAGCAACACCATTCATATGTAAACAATGTCAAATGGGTTTTGAAACTAGAATTCAATTGAGAAAACATGAGATACTTCACTCTGCCAAACTGGAACAAACTAAACTTGATAAGGAATTCAAATGCAAAGTTTGTTCAATGACATTTATGCAGGCTTCTACATTAAAAATCCACGAAATGACACATTCTGAAGAAAAAACAATCAAATGCTCAATATGTGATAAGAAATTCTCCAGACCATTTGACTTAAAGATTCATGAAAGGGTCCATAAGTAACTGAGATCATTTGTGTTTATCATTATGTTATCAATATGCTTGAATGTATTAAAAACTGTATGTACCGGTATATCACTTGTAAAAAATAAAAACCAGAATACAAATAGTGACAATTTTTGTGCATTCATATACTAGATAGTACTAGTACGCAATACAATTTAAAAATTAATTGAAATAATAAATCATGTTGCTTTGTGATTGTAACTCAAAAGTAAATTCATTTGGAGTAGTATACAGTATGTTCAATAAAGAATTTAAGCCATGGACTCTATGCATTGTTGACTGAATCACAAATATAATAGAAGATTAAAGTGAAAGTTAACAGCATACTGAGTATACCACATATAGTATCCTGATTTCTTGCCAGTTTGTAATTTCATTAAAGGCAGAATCAGATCTTTGGGGGTGACAAAATTACAAGCAACATGTTTAATTGACCTACCAATCTGTTCCTTACAATCTCAAATACAATATCTCCCAAAAGATCTTTGAAATATAATAAATTGGTGCAGTTATAATGGATTCAAGTTGAAAAAATGGGTGAAAGATGTTTACATTCACCAAAATAATAAGAATGGTAACCATCCTTATAGAAAAATAACACATTATTGTAAAAATCTTTAGTTTTCCTAAAATAAAGTGGTCACTTTGGTGATCTTTAGAAAATAGACATGAAAAGGAATGACATAAGCCAGAAATATTTTTAAATTGAAACAATTTTTTTTAAGGCTACTTGCTATCTCTGATTCTCTCTTTAAAATACATAAAAGTATAACACTCCTGGTCCTTTGGTATTGCATTGGATCTGATGTTTATAAGATATTAGACCTTTGTGAAATTGTGAATGTTATATTTATTACAAATGATGAAGATTCATTTATTTTCTTTTTCATTTTATATTACTTTTCCTCGAGAATTGATAAGGACAAACATACTGAGTTTTCAAATGTTTCAATTCAATCGTATTTACCTCGATAATATCACTTGCTATTTTCATACAAATGTACCAAATTTATGTCATTTATTCACAATAATACTGACTTTATAGTATATTTCTTCTAAAATAAGGTTTGTCTTCTAATTCCAGAAGAGATGGATTCTAAAGCAGAACATGAGCGTATTAACATCAAACAGGAGAATTTAAATACTGCAAATTATCAAGAATATTCAAATAATGATTTAACAATTATTCAAGAAAACATTTATGTAGAAAGCACAGAAATCAAACAAGAACATCTCTTTGGTTGTACAACTAAAAATGAAATATTGGAACCAAAGGATGAAGTCAACGAGGATTATCTTAGCAAAGAGGATTACAGCAATGAGGATTATGTTAGCAATGTGGATGACGTTGCCGTTGAACTTGATATTAAGAAAGAACCTTTAGACATTGTAAGCGAAGCAAACACTAATCTTACTTTAGAGGAAATTAGGGGATGTGAAGTTGAGCAGAATGAAATATTGAACTCTGATGAACATATTGAAAGAAGTGCAGTTATTCTTGATGATTTATCTAATAGTGAACATGATATGACTGACAAAAGAGATCAACCACTTAAAACAAGTTCAGAAACTATATGCAAATCAGATGAATCATTCAGATGTGAGATTTGTGGGAAGTGTTACTCAATCAAAAATGATCTTGACAAACATGCTTTGAAACACACCAGAGAGAGACCATTTCATTGTCACGTTTGTGAAAAAAGCTTTACGTCCTCACTTTTGTTAAAACGTCACATCTTGAATTTGCATTCGGATTCAGGTGAAAAGCCTTTCAAGTGTAAAAACTGTTCAAAAAGCTTTCTGTGGTCTTCCAAATTAAAAGTTCATGAACGAATACATACTGGGGAACGACCATTACAGTGTAAAGTTTGTGGTAAATGCTTTAATAATTTAGGTTCTTTTGGCATTCACCAGTTGACTCATTCTGGAAAAAAAACCTATAAATGTAGAAACTGTTTTAAATGCTTTTTAAGATCTGATGATTTAAGAAAGCATGAAACGATCCATACAGACCTACGACCATATGAGTGCAAATTTTGTATGAAAAGTTTTAGATTGTATTGTACTTACACACAACACAAAAGAATACATGGTATAGATAATAAATTTAAGTGTAAGTTTTGTGGGAAATATTCACAAACATTGCAAGATTTGAGAAACCATGAAATGATCCATACTGGTGAGAAGCCATTTAAATGCAAAATTTGTTTAAAAAAATTTAGAGTATCTGGAACTTTGAAATGCCATATGCTTTTACATACTGGAAAACCCTTTAAATGTAAAGTTTGTGGTAAAGGCTTTCAAACGGCTCATGCTTTAAAGGCACATGAAGCTGCTAAACATACTGGAAGTAAGCCTTTTGAATGTGATGTTTGTGGAAAATGCTATGTTGATCGTTACAGCTTGAAACATCATAAAGTTACACATACTGAAGACAAGCCATTTAAATGTAAAGAGTGTGAAAAATGCTTCTTTTTCTCAAGAGCTTTGAAGGAGCATTCAAAAGTACACAGCTTGGAGAAGCCTTTCAAATGTGCGGTTTGTCAAAGGGGTTTCATACGACAACACTCTTTAGAAATTCATAAAAGTACTCACCATGAGGGCAAACGTTTTAATTGCAAGCTGTGTAAGAGTTCTTTCCTTTACTCAAAGTCTTTAAAAATGCATGAAATAACATGTGAAAGGAAAACAAGAGGCTTTAAGTGTCACATTTGTGATCAATCATTTCGGAAATTTAGTGCCTTAAAATCACACAGACTATCGCATAGTAATGAAAATGTGTACAATTGTAAAATATGTGATAAGGTGTGTGAAACCCCTGGTGATTATGAAACCCATCAATCTTTTCATTTAAAAGAGAACAAATTTAGATGCAAATTCTGCATGAGGTATTTCAATGACTGTGATGCATTAAGATTGCATGAAATGTTCCATACTGGAGCAACACCATTCATATGTAAACAATGTCAAATGGGTTTTGAAACTAGAATTGAATTGAGGAAACATGAGATACTTCACTCTGCCAAACAGGAACTGACTAAACTTGATAAGGAATTCAAATGCAAAGTTTGTTCATTGACTTTTATGCAGGCTTCTACATTAAGAATCCACGAAATGACACATTCTGAAGAAAAAACAATCAAATGCTCAATATGTGATAAGAAATTCTCCAGACCATTTGACTTAAAGATTCATGAAAGGGTCCATAAGTAACTGAGATCATTGTGTTTATCATTATGTTATCAATATGCTTGAATGTATTAAAAAACTGTATGTATAAAAAATAAAAACCAGAATACAAATAGTGACAATTTTTGTGCATTCATATACTAGTACGCAATACATTTTAAAAATTAACTGAAATAATAAATCATGTTGCTTTATGATTGTAACTCAAAAATAAATTCATTTGGAGAAGTATACAGTATGTTCAATACAGAATTTAAGCCATGGACTCTATGCATTGTTGACTGAATCACAAATATAATAGAAGATTAAAGTGAAAGTTAACAGCATACTGAGTATACCACATATAGTATCCTGATTTATTGCCAGTTTGTAATTTCATTAAAATGCATAAAATTTGTATAACACTCCTGGTCCTTTGGTATTGCATTGGATCTAATGTTTATAAGATATTAGACCTTTGTGAAATTGTGAATGTTATATTTATTACAATTGATGAAGATTCATTTATTTTATTTTTCATTTTATATTACTTTTCCTCGAGAATTGATAAGGACAAACATACTGAGTTTTAAATGTTTCGATTCAATCTTATTTACCTCGATAATATCACTTGCTATTTTCATACAAATGTACCAAATTTATGTCATTTATTCACAATAATACTGACTTTATAGTAATAATTCAAGTTAAAATAAGGTTTGTCTTCTAATTCCAGAAGAGATGGATTCTAAAGCAGAACATGAGCGTATTAACATCAAACAGGAGAATTTAAATACTGCAAATTATCAAGAATATTCAAATAATGATTTAACAATTATTCAAGAAAGCATTTATGTAGAAAGCACAGAAATCAAACAAGAACATCTCTTTGGTTGTACAACTAAAAATGAAATATTAGAACCAAAGGATGAAGTCTACGAGGATTATCTTAGCAAAGAGGATTACTGCAATGAGGATTATGTTAGCAATGTGGATGACGTTGCCGTTGAACTTGATATTAAGAAAGAACCTTTAGACATTGTAAGCGAAGCAAACACAAATCTTGCTTCAGAGGAAATTAGGGGATGTGAAGTTGAGCAGAATGAAATATTGAACTCTGATGAACATATTAAAAGAGATGCAATTATTCTTGATGATTTATCTAATAGTGAACATGATATAAATGACAGAAGAGATCATACACTTGAAATAAGTTCAGAAGCTCTAAATAAATCAATTGAATCATTTAGATGTGAGATTTGTGGGAAGTGTTACACTATCAAAAATGATCTTGAAAAACATGCTTTGATTCATACCAGAGAGAGACCATTCCATTGTAAAGTTTGCGAAAAAAGGTTTACCTTAGCACGTTTCTTAAAACAGCACATGTTGGTTATGCATAATGACAAAAAGCAATTCAAATGTAACACCTGTTCAAAAAGCTTTCAATGGCCTTCCACTTTGAAAGTTCATGAACGAATACATACTGGGGAACGACCATTACAGTGTAAAGTTTGCGAAAAAAGGTTTACCTTAGCACGTTTGTTAAAACAGCACATGTTGGTTGTGCATAATGACAAAAAGCCATTCAAATGTAACACCTGTTCAAAAAGCTTTCTGTGGCCCTCCGCTTTGAAAGTTCATGAACGAATACATACTGGGGAACGACCATTACAGTGTAAAGTTTGTGGTAAATGCTTTAATAATTTAGGTTCTTTTGGCATTCACAAGTTGACTCATTCTGGAAAAAAACCCTATTCATGTAGAAACTGTTTCAAATGCTTTTTAAGATATGATGATTTAAGAAAGCATGAAACGATCCATACAGACCTACGACCATATGAGTGCAAATTCTGTATGAAACGATTTAGATTGTATTGTACTTACACACAACACAAAAGAATACATGGTATAGATAATAAATTTAAGTGTAAGTTTTGTGGGAAATATTCACAAACATTGCAAGATTTGAGAAACCATGAAATGATCCATACTGGTGAGAAGCCATTTAAATGCAAAATTTGTTTAAAAAAATTTAGAGTAGCTGGAACTTTGAAATGCCATATGCTTTTACATACTGGAAAACCCTTTAAATGTAAAGTTTGTGGTAAAGGCTTTCAAACGGCTCATGCTTTGAAGGCACATGAAGCTGCTAAACATACTGGAAGTAAGCCTTTTGAATGTGATGTTTGTGGAAAATGCTATGTTGATCGTTACAGCTTGAAACATCATAAAGTTACACATACTGAAGACAAGCCATTTAAATGTAAAGAGTGTGAAAAATGCTTCTTTTTCTCAAGAGCTTTGAAGGAGCATTCAAAAGTACACAGCTTGGAGAAGCCTTTCAAATGTGCTGTTTGTCAAAGGGGTTTCACACGACAACACTCTTTAGAAATTCATAAAAGTGCTCACCATGAGGGCAAACGTTTTAATTGCAAGCTGTGTAAGAGTTCTTTCCTTTACCAAAAGTCTTTAAAAATGCATGAAATAACATGTGAAAGGAAAACAAGAGGCTTTAAGTGTCACATTTGTGATCAATCATTTGGGAAATTTAGTGCCTTAAAATCACACAGACTATCGCATAATGAAAATGTGTACAATTGTAAAATATGTGATAAGGTGTGTGAAACCCCTGGTGATTATGAAAGTCATCAATCTTTTTATGTAAAAGAGAACAAATTTAGATGCAAATTTTGTATGAGGTATTTCAATAACTGTGATGCATTAAAAATGCATGAAATGTTCCATACTGGAGCAACACCATTCATATGTAAACAATGTCAAATGGGTTTTGAAACTAGAATTCAATTGAGAAAACATGAGATACTTCACTCTGCCAAACAGGAACAAACTCAATTTGATAAGGAATTCAAATGCAAAGTTTGTTCATTGACTTTTATGCAGGCTTCTACATTAAAAATCCACAAAATGACACATTCTGAAGAAAAAACAATCAAATGTTCAATATGTGAAAAGAAATTCTCTAGACCATTTGACTTAAAGATTCATGAAAGGGTCCATAAGTAACTGAGATCATTGTGTTTATCATTATGTTATCAATATGCTTGAATGTATTAAAAACTGCATGTACTGGTATATCACTTGTAAAAAATAAAAACCAGAATACAAATAGTGACAATTTTGTGCATTCATATACTAGATAGTACTAGTACGCAATACAATTTAAAAATTAATTGAAATAATAAATCATGTTGCTTCGTGATTGTAACTCAAAAGTAAATTCATTTGGAGTAGTATACAGTATGTTCAATAAAGAATTTAAGCCATGGACTCTATGCATTGTTGACTGAATCACAAATATAATAGATAGAAGATTAAAGTGAAAGTTATCAGCATACTGAGTATACCACATATAGTATCCTGATTTCTTGCCAGTTTGTAATTTCATTAAAGGTAGAATCAGATCTTTGGGGGTGACAAAATTACAAGCAACATGTTTAATTGACCTACCAATCTGTTCCTTACAATCTCAAATACAATATCTCCCAAAAGATCTTCGAAATATAATAAATTGGTGAAGTTATAATGGATTCAAGTTGAAAAAATGGGTGAAAGATGTTTACATTCACCCAAATAATAAGAATGGTAACCATTCTTATAGAAAAATAACACATTATTGTAAAAATCTTTAGTTTTCCTAAAATAAAGTGGTCACTTTGGTGATCTTTAGAAAATAGACATGAAAAGGAATGACATAAGCCAGAAATATTTTTAAATTGAAACAATTTTTTTTAGGCTGCTTGCTATCTCTGATTCTCTCTTTAAAATACATAAAAGTATAACACTCCTGGTCCTTTGGTATTGCATTGGATCTGATGTTTATAAGATATTAGACCTTTGTGAAATTGTGAATGTTATATTTATTACAAATGATGAAGATTCATTTATTTTCTTTTTCATTTTATATTACTTTTCCTCGAGAATTGATAAGGACAAACATACTGAGTTTTCAAATGTTTCAATTCAATCTTATTTATCACGATTATCACTTGCTATTTTCATACAAATGTACCAAATTTATGTCATTTATTCACAATAATACTGACTTTATAGTAATAATTCAAGCTAAAATAAGGTTTGTCTTCTAATTCCAGAAGAGATGGATTCTAAAGCAGAACATGAGTGTATTAACATCAAACAGGAGAATTTAAATACTGCAAATTATCAAGAATATTCAAATAATGATTTCACAATTATTCAAGAAAGCATTTATGTAGAAAGCACAGAAATCAAACAAGAACATCTCTTTGGTTGTACAACTAAAAATGAAATATTGGAACCAAAGGATGAAGTCAACGAGGATTATCTTAGCAAAGAGGATTACAGCAATGAGGATTATGTTAGCAATGTGGATGACGTTGCCGTTGAACTTGATATTAAGAAAGAACCTTTAGACATTGTAAGTGAAACAAACACTAATCTTGCTTTAGAGGAAATTAGGGGATGTGAAGTTGAGCCGAATGTAATATTGAACTCTGCTGAACATATTGAAAGAGGTGCAGTTATTCTTGATGATTTATCTAATAGTGAACATGATATGAATGACAGAAGAGATCATACACTTGAAATAAGTTCAGAAACTCTAAATAAATCAATTGAATCATTCAGATGTGAGATTTGTGGGAAATGTTACTCTATCAAAAATGATCTTGACAAACATGCTTTGAAACACACCAGAGAGAGACCATTTCATTGTCACGTTTGTGAAAAAAGCTTTACATCCTCACTTTTGTTAAAACGTCACATCTTGAATTTGCATTCGGATTCAGGTGAAAAGCCTTTCAAGTGTAAAAATTGTTCAAAAAGCTTTCTGTGGTCTTCCAAATTAAAAGTTCATGAACGAATACATACTGGGGAACGACCATTACAGTGTAAAGTTTGTGGTAAATGCTTTAATAATTTAGGTTCTTTTGGCATTCACCAGTTGACTCATTCTGGAAAAAAAACTATAAATGTAGAAACTGTTTCAAATGCTTTTTAAGATATGATGATTTAAGAAAGGATGAAACGATCCATACAGACCTACGACCATATGAGTGCAAATTTTGTATGAAAAGATTTAGATTGTATTGTACTTACACACAACACAAAAGAATACATGGTATAGATAATAAATGTAAGTGTAAGTTTTGTGGGAAATATTCACAAACATTGCAAGATTTGAGAAACCATGAAATGATCCATACTGGTGAGAAGCCATTTAAATGCGAAATTTGTTTAAAAAGGTTTAGACTAGCTGTTACTTTTAAATGTCATATGCTTTTACATACTGGAAAACCCTTTAAATGTAAAGTTTGTCGTAAAGGCTTTCAAACGGCTCGTGCTTTGAAGGCACATGAAGCTGCTAAACATACTGGAAGTAAGCCTTTTGAATGTGATGTTTGTGGAAAATGCTATGTTGATCGTTACAGCTTGAAACAACATAAAGTTACACATACTGAAGACAAGCCATTTAAATGTAAAGAGTGTGAAAAATGCTTCTTTTTCTCAAGAGCTTTGAAGGAGCATTCAAAAGTACACAGCTTGGAGAAGCCTTTCAAATGTGCAGTTTGTCAAAGGGGTTTCATACGACAACACTCTTTAGAAATTCATAAAAGTGCTCACCATGAGGGCAAACGTTTTAATTGCAAGCTGTGTAAGAGTTCTTTCCTTTACCAAAAGTCTTTAAAAATGCATGAAATAACATGTGAAAGGAAAACAAGAGGCTTTAAGTGTCACATTTGTGATCAATCATTTGGGAAATTTAGTGCCTTAAAATCACACAGACTATCGCATAGTAATGAAAATATGTACAATTGTAAATTATGTGATAAGGTGTTTGAAACCCCTGGTGATTATGAAACCCATCAATCTTTTCATTTAAAAGAGAACAAATTTAGATGCAAATTCTGCATGAGGTATTTCAATGACTGTGATGCATTAAGATTGCATGAAATGTTCCATACTGGAGCAACACCATTCATATGTAAACAGTGTCAAATGGGTTTTGAAACTAGAATTGAATTGAGAAAACATGAGATACTTCACTCTGCCAAACAGAAACTTACTAAATTTGATAAGGAATTCAAATGCAAAGTTTGTTCAATGACTTTTATGCAGACTTCTACGTTGAAAATCCACGAAATGACACATTCTGAAGAAAAAACAATTAAATGTTCAATATGTGATAAGAAATTCTCCAGACCATTTGACTTAAAGATTCATGAAAGGGTCCATAAGTAACTGAGATCATTTGTGTTTATCATTATGTTATCAATATGCTTGAATGTATTAAAAAACTGTATGTATATCACTTGTAATAAAATAAAAACCAAAATACAAATAGTGACAATTTTTGTGCAGTCATATTCTAGTACACAATACAATTTAAAAGTTAACTGAAATAATAAATCATGTTGCTTTATGATTGTAACTCAAAAATAAATTCATTTGGAGAAGTATACAGTATGTTCAATACAGAATTTAAGCCATGGACTCTATGCATTGTTGACTGAATCACAAATATAATAGAAGATTAAAGTGAAAGTTAACAGTATACTGAGTATACCACATATAGTATCCTGATTTATTGCCAGTTTGTAATTTCATTAAAATGCATAAAAGTATAACACTCCTGGTCCTTTGGTATTGCATTGGATCTAATGTTTATAAGATATTAGACCTTTGTGAAATTGTGAATGTTATATTTATTACAATTGATGAAGATTCATTTATTTTCTTTTTCATTTTATATTACTTTTCCTCGAGAATTGATAAGGACAAACATACTGAGTTTTAAATGTTTCGATTCAATCTTATTTACCTCGATAATATCACTTGCTATTTTCATACAAATGTACCAAATTTATGTCATTTATTCACAATAATACTGACTTTATAGTAATAATTCAAGCTAAAATAAGGTTTGTCTTCTAATTCCAGAAGAGATGGATTCTAAAGCAGAACATGAGCGTATAAACATCAAACAGGAGAATTTAAATACTGCAAATTATCAAGAATATTCAAATAATGATTTAAGAATTATTCAAGAAAGCATTTATGTAGAAAGCACAGAAATCAAACAAGAACATCTCTTTGGTTGTACATCTAAAAATGAAATATTGGAACCAAAGGATGAAGTCAACGAGGATTATCTTAGCAAAGAGGATTACTGCAATGAGGATTATGTTAGCAATGTGGATGACGTTGCCGTTGAACTTGATATTAAGAAAGAACCTTTAGACATCGTAAGCGAAGCAAACACTAATCTTGCTTTAGAGGAAATTAGGGGATGTGAAGTTGAGCCGAATGTAATATTGAACTCTGCTGAACATATTGAAAGAGGTGCAGTTATTCTTGATGATTTATCTAAAAGTGAATATAATATAAATGACAGAAGAGATCATACACTTGAAATAAGTTCAGAAACTTTGAATAAATCAATTGAATCATTCAGATGTGAGATTTGTGGGAAATGTTACTCTATCAAAAATGATCTTGACAAACATGCTTTGAAACACACCAGAGAGAGACCATTTCATTGTCACGTTTGTGAAAAAAGCTTTACGTCCTCACTTTTGTTAAAACGTCACATCTTGAATTTGCATTCGGATTCAGGTGAAAAGCCTTTCAAGTGTAAAAACTGTTCAAAAAGCTTTCTGTGGTCTTCCAAATTAAAAGTTCATGAACGAATACATACTGGGGAACGACCATTACAGTGTAAAGTTTGTGGTAAATGCTTTAATAATTTAGGTTCTTTTGGCATTCACCAGTTGACTCATTCTGGAAAAAAAAACTATAAATGTAGAAACTGTTTCAAATGCTTTTTAAGATATGATGATTTAAGAAAGCATGAAACGATCCATACAGACCTACGACCATATGAGTGCAAATTTTGTATGAAAAGATTTAGATTGTATTGTACTTATACACAACACAAAAGAATACATGGTATAGATAATAAATTTAAGTGTAAGTTTTGTGGGAAATATTCACAAACATTGCAAGATTTGAGAAACCATGAAATGATCCATACTGGTGAGAAGCCATTTAAATGCAAAATTTGTTTAAAAAAATTTAGAGTAGCTGGAACTTTGAAATGCCATATGCTTTTACATACTGGAAAACCCTTTAAATGTAAAGTTTGTGGTAAAGGCTTTCAAACGGCTCATGCTTTGAAGGCACATGAAGCTGCTAAACATACTGGAAGTAAGCCTTTTGAATGTGATGTTTGTGGAAAATGCTATGTTGATCGTTACAGCTTGAAACATCATAAAGTTACACATACTGAAGACAAGCCATTTAAATGTAAAGAGTGTGAAAAATGCTTCTTTTTCTCAAGAGCTTTGAAGGAGCATTCAAAAGTACACAGCTTGGAGAAGCCTTTCAAATGTGCAGTTTGTCAAAGGGGTTTCATACGACAACAATCTTTAGAAATTCATAAAAGTGCTCACCATGAGGGCAAACGTTTTAATTGCAAGCTGTGTAAGAGTTCTTTCCTTTACCCAAAGTCTTTAAAAATACATGAAATAACATGTGAAAGAAAAAAAAGAGGCTTTAAGTGTCACATTTGTGATCAATCATTTGGGAAATTTAGTGCCTTAAAATCACACAGACTATCGCATAGTAATGAAAATGTGTACAATTGTAAAATATGTGATAAGGTGTTTGAAACCCCTGGTGATTATGAAAGCCATCAATCTTTTCATTTAAAAGAGAACAAATTTAGATGCAAATTCTGTATGAGGTATTTCAATGACTGTGATACATTAAAAATGCATGAAATGTTCCATACTGGAGCAACACCATTCATATGTAAACAGTGTCAAATGGGTTTTGAAACTAGAATTGAATTGAGAAAACATGAGATACTTCACTCTGCCAAACAGGAACCAACTAAACTTGATAAGGAATTCAAATGCAAAGTTTGTTCATTGACTTTTATGCAGGCTTCTACATTAAGAATCCACGAAATGACACATTCTGAAGAAAAAACAATCAAATGTTCAATATGTGATAAGAAATTCTCGAGACCATTTGACTTAAAGATTCATGAAAGGGTTCATAAGTAGAGATCATTGGTATCATTGTGTTTATCATTATGTTATTATTATCATTATGTTATCAATATGCTTGAATGTATTGAAAAAGTGTATGTATATCACCTGTAAAAAATAAAAACCAGAATACAAATAGTGACAATTTTTGTGCATTCATATACTAGATAGTACTAGTACGCAATACAATTTAAAAATTAATTGAAATAACAAATCTTGTTGCATTGTGATTGTAAGTCAACATTTTTTGTATGGCCATTTTGTGTAGTGCATCCTACCAAGTTTTATTAATTTACTGAATACGGATGTCCGATGTTACGTCTGATGTTTATAGCATCTTTCTCACAGGTTTGCATCGTCCATAAAGACTGAGTTTGTATTTGCGAATGCAACTAACGGCTGAGGGCTACTGGATTAACCTACTAGTACAATAACATATGCAACACATTTAAATATGAATAGTATATGCCACTATTCCATTCCTATTTAATAGAGTTAGTCATAATATACAGGGTGTCCCAGAAGTAATTTCATATTGTTTCCATATCAAATAAAAATTTTAGAGCATAATTATCATTACTTCTGGGACACCCTGTAGTAGGTTAATCTGGAAGCCTCGAGCCGTTAGATGCATTCGTGAATACAAGCTGAGATGGAGAAAGCGAGGCTTACCATGATGGATCTATTTCAATCGATACGATTTTATGACCATTTTGCAAAACATGCTGCAAACGCTAGCCTCGTGTCTGGAGGCAAACCTGAGAACCAATAGCTTATCATTAGAAGTTTCATTTTTTATAAAATTTAGAAAAGTGGAGACTGATAGAAAAATGTTTGTCGGGAGTGTCCTTAATAAAGAAAACGATTTCGAGATCTACAGAGAGATTGAGCCCTAAACTTACACCTAATGTAACATTTGCAAAGATATTCTCAGATTCTGATCTTGTGTGCGCACAAGTTAGCTAAGCTATCATTTAATGCATTAATGCCATTTGGGCTGACGTCAGTGTATTAGAAACATCATATCCTTAAATGAGTACCATAGCCATTACAGGGGCGTAGCCAGCTTTCAGTCAGGGGTCGCGATCGCCCAAAAAATCGGTTTTCAGTCAGGGGGTGCGATTGTGGCATAAACAAGATTTATTTTGAATTTTACCAAAACGGATGCATCTTCCTTCAAAATTTATTTTTATTGGTTATGAGAGGCGCACCCCATTGTGTACAAGCAAGTCTGCCATATTGTCATATCTTGATTCGTTCATATAGTAAGCTAGTATGCTATATATCATCGGACTTCTTCTCTTTTCTGTTCAGCTTTCTTTTAATTTTCCGAACACCACACTCTGCAGAAGCAATAACCTTTGGGAGAAACTCTGTCCATAGTCTAACACGATCAGCTTTGGTGATGCCATCAACTGGAGTAATGTTATTTGATAAGTCAAGGTACTCGCCGTTCTCGGCCGTGAAGATTGGCCAAACTGTTGGGAGGGCTGGGTCTGCAGAAGGTTTATTGGGATCTCTGAAAATGTACATTGGATAACTTAATGTTTTGTTGTTGTATTTACTATTTAGTGCAACTTCGAAGTCTTCTCCATAACTTTCAATAGAGAATATGGAAAAGTACAACCAGGTCAAAACTTTCCGTCCCTGCATTTTGTATAATTAACACAACTATCATTTTTCATGAAAAGTCGAGGTTTTGTCAAAATATAATGCTCTTTGCCCCATATTTGGTAACGATCAAAAATGTTTAGTCTCTTTTGGCAGGAAATGTCCATTTTATGTCACCACCACTATACACAGGGAGATATGCTGAGTACTAAAATAGCACTCGTGGCATTTTAGCGCTAATTGAGTACTCATTTCAACAAATATTAGTACTAAATGAGCACTTATGACATGAGTACTGATTTATTGCATGTTTTAGTACTAAATGAGTACTCATATGATGAGTGATAAAATAGCGCTAATTTCATTGATTTTTCATTACTCAATGAGCACTCATACCATGGGCTTTCAACTAGTTGAAAGCCCATGCTCATACTATGAGCACTAATTAATTGCATGTTTTAGTACTAAATGAGTACTCATATGATGAGTGATAAAATAGCGCAAATTTCATTGATTTTTCATTACTCAATGAGCGCTCATATTATGAGTACTAATTTATTGCTCATGTTTCACGATTGATAGAATAGTACTCAAAGATTAAAATGTTGATAATTTTTTTTAATTGATGAAGTAAAATATAGAATACATAATAAATTACATTTGAATTATACAAAAACATGGATAAATATATCATTAAGATTTTCCAAAAATTCCCATTCCTTTAGCTATTTCATGTAACAGGTTCAAGCTAGGAAACAAAATGACAGACACCATACCGTTCCATTCTTGAGAAAAGTGCATATATATATACATTGATTTGTTACTTAAGTGAAAGATGCGGTAAGTTGTATTAAATGAGAAGTTACTAAAATTACAAGGTAAGTGAGTTCTATATATGTTACAATTATAAGTTGATATGGGAGTAAGTCTTAATAATAAAATTGAAGGTAGCATGTGAATTGTATCCGAGCTAGAATGATACCTGCTGAGTGATTATTATTTAATAAATGAACAATATTTTAGTGCTAAAAGTGCAATTTTTTAGTACTAAAATAGCACTCAATTAGTACTAAATCATTACTTAAAATATTGTTACTAAAACGGTAATAAAATAAACCCTAATTTGTCACAGAAAGAGTACTAAAATAGCACTCAAGTAGTAATAAATTAGCACTCTGGCAAAAGTGCACTCATGAGTACTCACGGCACGAGTGCTAATTTAGTACTAATTTTGTACTAATTTAGTACTCGGCATATCTCCCTGTGTAGTAGTGATCGACATATTAGTCAGTTTAGCCCCAACTTTTTGTGGACGGTGGTCGGCGGTTCGTAATCGGTGATCGGCATCTGTGACAAATGGAAAGGAGTGACATTATGCATTCCAATGCCTTGATAGTTTCTTTTAAACTGATTTGTCACTAGAGCTCAAATAAACATGTTCACTAATCCATACTTTTTGAGGAAAACATTCTTACCCGGTTTTTGCAAAGTTAGTCCAATACATAATCATGTTGTATGACAGACGTTGTTCCTCCTTTGGTCGATTAAGGAAGGAGTCAACATCAGGAAATATATAATCTAGATCATCACCATGTTTGGCTCCCTTCAACCATGTAATGTCTTCATTGTCGTTCGCCTTCTTTTGCGTAAGCTGGTATAGGAAGGGACTGCCCCCGAGAGCAGTGTGTAGTTGTGAGAATTCAATTGTAGCAATTCTATACCAGTAATCCGTGATGAAGTCATGAGTAATAGCAGCAATGTTTTCATTGTCTTTTTCGTTGCCTTTGTTAAGTCCTAGGTATGTATATGAGAATACATCATGGATAACACTGGCGATTGATTCCAAACTATTTTCTTGGATGTAATCGCGAATAAGGTCATGTAACACAGGTAAGAATAACACTGTATCATTCCAGGCTAATGGAACACGGGGAGACCCTTTAGGTCGATGTAGATACGCCCACCACCATACAATAGCAAACCCATCATTACTGTTGAATCCGAGCATCAAATCAATGGTTTTTAACATGCGTTGGGCAGGTCCTTTTTCTTTTTTAATATGTTCAATGGGGCGTCCACAATGAACTTTCCATCCACAATGGGGTTCCACCTGAAGAATCTATCTAGTGTTTTAAGAGGAGGAAGAGCAGTAACAGTTGGACGGCACATTGCCTTAACCCATCAGCTTTATGACGTGCACTTCCGCGTGGGACTATATCTTTACAACGGGAATTTCAAGTTTTGTCAGTGTAGACATAAAAAGTTGCGGTCCTCTTACTCGCGCAGTTTTTAATATTTTCATTTGAAACTTGCAGGAACGGTGCTTTGAATCTAGCTCTCTACTCTTTGAAAACGTCATGTAGAATCGAAACAGTTGAACTATTTATTTTTGGTCGTGAAAATATTTTTTTTTAGTTTATTTTTATTTTACAACTTTTTGGGAAAAAATGTAACAAATTTTTATTTCTTGTCATATTTATCCGATATTTTGTCATCATGAAATTCGAGATTCCTTTTAATTATGGCGCAAATTTCATAACAATTGATGAATTTTTATTATCAGTGTTATGTTTTCCAAAAACGGTGTAACACTGTGCATGTTTCTTTAATTGATGGCACATTTGCCTTTAATTGGGCGAACGTACAGGTCCCGACGCAATAAGCTTTATTTGATTAATACACTCAAAAATAAAGTTTGCTATCAAATCGGAATGTTCATAAAACATAAACCTTGCCTTTGTTTTCCCAATTCTAAAAGCAGGCCAAATAAACTATGATAGTCGTTTGACTCTCGAGACTACAGAACTTGAACATACTAAAATCGAAGTTACCTATAGTCACGCTTGTAACGTTAATTATATGTTTTACGGCGTGCTGAGTGAATGTATCTAATCAAATTTGTGACATACCCATAAGATCGTAGATCACGATTCTAAATTTAAAATGGAATTTGGATTCGTAAGAAGTATTTCTGTTTTAAACTTACCTTTTATGTCTGAAAAAGATCAATATCCATAGACGGGGATGTTGAAACCTATATTTCCTTTGAATGACCTGCATTTGTACTACGAAATGATCCTGTGGAGAAAAGTTGATGAATTCCAAACAGCTAGTTCTAGCAAATCTACTAGTATAAGCTTACTTTCTAAACGTATTTCAATGTTAAAAACATCTATTCAAATGTTTCATTTTTAAAATGATCTTTTGCTTCCCTTAACTTATATGTGTGACTTAATGACGAATGCTGTTTACCGAGCTTAAGACGTAAACTTGGCAATTACTCGATACATGTTATAACGCGATTTTCTTTCATTTTCTACAAAAATGGTATGTTTTCGGACGGTCATTTATGTTAATCTATGACCGTGGTATGATTGAAAATGAAAGAACTGAACCAAGTATTGTCGACTCGGTTGAATCATAAGATTTATTTTGATTGATTTAATCTCTTCTTGAATTTTAAAACGTTTGTCCGAATTACATTTGCTATGGAATTAAAGTTCAAATATACCTCAGAATTGCTTATTGAATTAACCTAGCAATTAATTTGAAAATAATTCTTTACATAGGTTATATATCATAGATCATAGAAAATAGATAGATAGATCGTAAAAAATAAAAATGTGTTTTGAAAGATGAATTGGTAACAAACGATTTCGTACACGTGCCATTCTTCACCTTCAGCCCACTTAAAGCACGAAATCCCGTATGACGTAATATAACGAAAATGCGCAGATAATTGATATTTTTTTAATTTTAATTCAACTCACATTGACCTTTCTTATTTAGAACGCGATTAAAGTTCTCATGTTAAGAAAATAAATTTGTGGAAAGGCAATGGTTTAAAGCTTACGAAAATGTCAAAATCATAATTCAGTTTTTAAAATTAGATATTGACATGCATTCACGCACATGTGACATTATCTCTTTTTGTGCGATTCAAACATAAAAATCTCATTACAGTTATGCATATGAACCAATCTTAGCCATGCCTGTCTAATAGAAGGAACTAAATTTGAATCAAAAAATAATTCTGTGTAAAGATGATTCCCCATAGATATAATAAATGTCAAAAATGTCAAAAAAATTATCAAAAATTACTTTTAAGCACACATGACCTTTTCCAGTTTTGCTCATTTCATTTACCTTGAAAACCAAGGAGACCGAACGCAATTGCTATATACAACCTTGATACGTGTACCAGGTCTATAATTGCATTTTCTCATGGAAGGAGCTAAGCAAAAATTATAAAAATAATTCTGCGTAGAGGTGATGCTTCACAAATAATATTAATGTCAAAAAATTAATTCATTTCTTCAAAATTAAATACTGACACGCATTTACGCACACATGACCTTTTCCAGTTTTGCTTATTTCATTTACCTTGAAAACCAAAGAGACTGGACGCAATTGCCAAATACTTCTTTGATACGCGTGCCAGGTCTATAATTGCACTTTCTCATGGAAGGAACCAAGCAAAAATTATAAAAAGAATTCTATGTTAAGGTGATGCTTCACAAATAATATTAATGTCAAAACTTTAATTCATTTCTTCAAATCCAAATACTGACACGCTTTTATGCACACGTGACCTTTTCTCCTTTTGCTCACTTTATTTATCCTAAAAATCAGTGAGCCTTAATACATTGTCCGATACTTCTTTAATACGTGTCGGGTCTAAAATTGCAGTTTATCATGAAAGAAATCGAACAATTATTATAAAAATAATTATGTGTAAAGGTGATGTTCTTCAGATTATATAAACATCAAAATTGTAATTCATTTATTGAAAGTTAAATATCCACATGCTTTACGCACACATAACCTTTTCCCTTTTGTTCATTTTATCTATCTTTAAAATCAGTGAGCCTGAACTCATTGCTAAGTACTTTTTGATACGAGTCAGCTCCAGGTCTAAAATTACATTTTATCATGGAACAAATCGAGCAATCATTATGAAAATAATTCTGTGTAAAGGCGATGTTCCAAAGACAATATATATGTCAATTTGATAATTCAGTTACTCAAAATGAAATATCCACATGCTTTTACGCACACATGATAATTTTCTGAATGACGCTACTTTTTGGATTCAACCATGCATATAACGTCGTAAAAAACACATTTCTACCGAAATTATGCCCAACCGTTTTCGCAGAAAATGTAACAAATGATTGGTACTTATAAAATATCGTATTTACTTTAACTTTTAAGCGGTTTAGACATTTAAAAAAATGATGTTTAATCAATGTTAATTTCGCACGAATATAGGGTACCAAATGAGTGAAAGTCTCACGTGTTTGATTGCATTTTACTCCCATTTATGTGCATTTTTCTAACATTAAAATGAGATTGTTGGAAAGAAGAGATCAGTAGAATTCTATCCTTCACTTTCATATTCAAATGTTTAAATGTTTACCGTTTCAATGGACCTCGTAAAGATGGTAGCCAACGGACCAGAAACAAGTAGTGCGATGACGTCATATATCGCTACACCACTTTGATATAAAGTTTGGTAAACAACAATGGTTTTTTTTCAATGTGCCGTCCTACTGAAAAGGACATGCATTTTCTCCCGAAAAAAGGAGTTCGTAGGTATCTACATCTCTTAAGCTCTATGAGATCTTCTACCGTGATATTGCCGCAGCCAACTGCTTCCCCCGTCTCTCTTAAAAGCGGTATTACATCGGTGTCGCGGATGGCAAATTCAGAGGAAATAGTTCCAGATTGGGCAATTGCTCGTCTGCAGAACCAGAGAATAAATGAAGTCAGGTAACAGTCTTACCAATATTTGGTACGATGCACAGACGTAGTAGCAGTCATCGACCATGTCTTTTAGAAAAAGTAACTCTACATTCACGGGATGTCATCGAGTAATTTGGATGAGGCGGAGCAGGTCGTTTTAAAAGAAATTTACATATTTTCACACAATTTATACTTCAACTGAAAAGCTGCTTATTCACAAAGAAAATGATCCATTTTAACATATTTTAATAATCAAAAGCCTTCGTTAAGATACGTTAAAAAGTTATAATGAAAAAACAAACGTTACAAGCGTAGGACGTTCGCGCCCCTTTTAGGCGTCCGACTTCGTGCAGACTGAGCACAAATTGACATTGTCATTGCATGTGCTAGAGCATTGTCCCTGTAAATAAACAGCTTCAGTTTTAAAAAACGTGTCTTGTAAAATCGACCCACTCCGCCCCATTATCCAAATTAGTCGATGACACCCGTTCCAGTATACTAATCACAATGTGACATAACATGCTTATATGTGCTAACATCAACGGAAAATTTACGTATTATGGCAATCGATCCCAAGACTTCTCTCACTAAAATGGGGATTATTAAAAGAAAATTAGCAGGCAATAGTGTAATTATTGTTGATATGTAAATAACGGCGTCGTGATAAGAGAACAATGGATCCCTAAATTAATTGATCACAAAAACTTCGTCTCAGCTGCAGACTTACTGAAATAGCCCAATATTTGTGGGAGACGTTGCGTGTTGAGTCACACTTGATGCCCCAGCCGATTGTCCAAATATGGTAATTCTCTCTGGGTCACCGCCAAATAAGGCAATGTTGTCTTTAACCCAGCGGATTGCAAGTTGTTGGTCCAAAAGTCCCATGTTACCTTAAAACAGTTCCAAGATAGTTTTATAATTAAAATTAAAATAAATGACCACTATCTCATCATGATTTGACCATGAACATTAATGAAACTACCTCTGTTAGGATTCACATTGACTAACTGTGTTGAGATTTTGGCACAAACGTCGACTCTACTCCGACGTCAGATATTTTAGATTTGCTAATTATAATATTCACGAGTTGACTTTGGAGAAATGTGAGTATGGTTCGGTCAGTTGACATGATAAATTTAATTTTTACGATGATATTCAACCATTGCTAATGCCTCTGTCCAGTTGATCTACGCTAACCGTACGGCGGTCGTAGCTTATAACCAGATACCAATACAGGGATAAGCAGCGCGATGTAGACTTATATCGATTTTGTGAAGCTACGGCTTCCGTACGCCTGCCGTAAAGAAAATGTGACTGAGTCTTTACCTACCGGGAACCACATTATCTCCTGTACTCAGGAATCCAAATATGCCCAGTCTGTAGTTCATCGTGACCATCACTACATCACCAATAACTGTGATCATGGTTGGATCATAGGCTATTGCACTGTCCCAAGAGTATCTGTAATCATTACAAGGATGAGTGAAACAAAAGAGGAGTCTACGAGAATAAAATTTCATAATTTAACGACTATCGCATCGTGGTAAGCCACGCCCTCTCCATCTCTATCCTTCTGGAGAGCATCTGCGACCAGTTACGACCGCCGTACCGTACTACGGTTACCGTAGATCAAATGTGAATGAGGTTTTACAAACTATAGAGACCGCGTGGATCAAGATAAACCAAGTTTTCAACCTTACCCTCCACCGTGGATCCAAACCATAACTGCTTTGACCTCTCTCATGTCTCTGGTTGAGCCATCTCCCGGGGCCCAGACATTCAGGTACAAACAATCTTCATCTGGGTTACCAACGGAAAACAGTTCTGGGTATTGCCAACAGCTGTTTGAATATTTCGTTGAATCTCTCGTCTCTGTCCATGTTGAACTCAATGGTTGCGGAAGTTCAAATCTCAGAGCTCCAACGGGAGGATCGGCGTAGGGAATCCCGAGATATTTCCTGTACGTTAAATTACGTCTTTTGAGATATGGTAAACCCGCTAGGTTCGAAATAGAATGTTGCGTCCCACGTATTGGTCCATTGGGTAGAACCACAACATCTGCTTTGGTTTGAGATAGCATGAAGATTGTCATCACGATTAAAACACTTGCAAGCGTCTTCTTCATTGTAACCATTTTTTGCATGTACATTTATTTGTTTATATTTGAAACGTTATGCGTGCAAATAAAATCGAATGGGAAACCCCCGGGGGTTTCACTCCAATATACTTTTAAAAAATATATAATTTTTCTAGTGATTTGTTCCAGGCCTTAACAACTGAATTAACGAATTTAATACAATTTTTTATAGAAAGATTCGATTTTGACTTAAAAGGGTACTTTCATAGACAATTTTCCATGTTTTTTCCTCTCAGATTGGCCAATTTTCATGTTTTATACTCAAAGCCAAAATTGGCCGCGCTGCACATACATGTACCTATCCAAATTATTTAGAGTAAACCCCCGGGGGAAACCTGTACGTCATAAATCGCCCTATTCAAATGCATGCATGATGTAGCCTAGTTTTCCTCATAAAACAATCCGTTACTTACATCATCGTGTACTATGCCAGTTATACAGCTGGTTTTCTATGATACATATTTTAAACATGCTCGTTTCGTAAGATATTTGAAGCTAAAGCATGTATGACATACATGTACATCATTTTCTGCAGAAAGCATTATACTATGCATCGAAATCAAAATTGCCAGCATAGTATTCAAAAGACATGAGTATAATGATTCCCATTGCCAGCAATCTGAAATTGCCAGAAATCTCCCGTTCTAAACACAGATCTGAAACTGATCGGGTATCTGAAGTAGACTAAGTCAGCGCTTCTTTTGTATACGCGCTATACAGCTATATACATTACTGTATAATTTATTGGCTTTGCATTCACGGAGACGTTACGAAGACTTAATGCTCTTAGCTCTAATACTCTATAATAGTAATGGTCTTTTTAATAATTCAACTAATTATTTAATCATTTGATTTAACTTTGTTCTTTTTGCTTTCGACTAAATCGATATTGATTGATGAGTGAATAAAAAATTCACGAAAGCGTTCAAATGATGTAATTGTATTTTAATCAATTTTAACAAAATACAAACAATTGATTTCGAATGTTGTCACTTGTGCTTTTTTATTTGACTTGGAATAAATGTACATAAAATAACATTGATTTCTTATATTTCGTTTTTTTGCTCTGCTATATTCATCCTCAACGGATTGGCATAAGTAAAACCTATTTTGAAAACAGCATTCATCTTATTCTAACACTTTATCTATCAATGACCCATGGCTCCCTAAAGTCCGAAGTCGATCGAGTGAACGAAGATGCACCGAAGTTAGAACAACAAAAAACACCTGGGTGTTAATCCGTGGATTATCCTTTAGATGTTAATCCGTATCGTGGATTATCCTTAAGATGTTAATCCGTACCGTTAATCATCCTTTCGATGTTAATCCGTACTGTGGATTATCCTTTAGATGTTAATCCGTACCGTGGATTATCCTTTAGATGTTAATCCGTATCGTGGATTATCCTTTAGATGTTAATCCGTACTGTGGATTATCCTTTAGATGTTAATCCATACCGTGGATTATCCTTTAGATGTAAATCCGTACCGTGGATTATCCTTTAGGTGTTAATCCGTACCGTGGATTATCCTTTAGGTGTTAATCCGTACCTTGGATTATCCTTTAGGTGTTAATCCGTACCATGGATTATCCTTTAGATGTTAATTCTGTAGCGTGGATTATCCTTGAAAATGAGAAATATATTTTGGGAATTTGTGATGTAATCTGACAGTCAATATAAGGTAACATAGTGTATTGATGTTTTTTATATGTAAACATATGCAAACTACAGGTACATGAAAAACTCCCCTCCCATTCATTCAAAATGGTAGTCCAAAACAGGACCGAAGAGAAAGTTGACTCGGTCAATCTTGTATATTTGGCCTTGGAATTTCAGAATTATTTAGTTCATTCAATGTGAATTTTTCGTGAAAGTTTGATGATAATTTGCTTATTGAGTCAAAAACTACACTATTACTAGGAGTATGTTTTGCAAGATTGACCGATCAACTTTTCTTTGGTCCTGTTTGATTCTGGACACCCTCTTATATGCAACTCTAAGAGTACTCGTGATCCTTAAAGCAAGCAATGTTAAAGGGGCAACAAGGACTGTAGAGAGAAAATTCGAAATTTTTTATTTTTTCTGAGCTATCAGGGCAACATTTGGCTTAACATCTTCTTTGACATGTATGGATAAACTATCAATTTCAGCATTAAAAAGTGTAAATTCAGTTCAAAGCTTCTATAAAGGGAGTCCCACTTATAGATTTTTAAGATCCGCGACGTTACAAGTGAAATATCAACTGAAATAATGTTCATCCTGGGGGTTTCTTTGTAGATCATAAAAATATATGTTAACTAAATATCCAAACTTAAATGAATTTTGACACTGGTCCATGATCGTTGAATAGCCCCTCTGCACTAATTGTTGCACCTTTAATATTCGATTGAGCATTTGCCATCATAACCAACATGGACCAGTTTATCAGGGAGTTCAAGATACTTACTCTTCCACTTTCTTATTAAACTTGGGCTGTGTTCAATTACTTTCTTCTCCCGAAAATAATGGAGTCCCTTCTCTCGTCTATGATTGGCAAATTTACCATTGTTTGCTATATTGGGAAATATGCAATAAAGTTTATTTGTATGGCAGTGATAGATGTGCCACATGGACCACATATCCTTTACTTTATTAGGAGGCCCCATCGGGGGGCCTCCTATCAATTTTGTAGATATTATTCTTTATTATTCTTTATTAGACTCCAGATGTCAATCTGGAGTCTATTGTTTTTGCCAGTATTCTTCTTCTTCTTATTAGACTCCAGATGTCAATCTGGAGTCTATTGTTTTTGCCAGTATTCTTATTCTTCTTATTATTCTTATTTTTCTTTTTGAGTTTTTTCAGTAACTATAAGGTATCCAGTAAAGACCATTATACCGTTGATTTAGGTTCAGTATCTAGTTGGTGGGAAATTGGGTCAAATTTTTATCTAGGTCAAAGGTCAAGAACTAGGTCAAATCCAGTACTTTGTCACTTTTTTCAATTTTCTCAGTCGTCCTTCAATATTTTTGATCCAGGTTTTTTTCATTGTGTTCCTCATAAAAAAGTAGGAAAGCTAAGGTCGATTTAGTTTTTTGATATCTCAAACCGATTTTGAGATATGGCGTCCAGAAAGTAGGTCACACCAAAACGTGCTCCAAATTCAATGTATGAGTTATGAATTAGGGGTAGAATTTTGTCAGGAATCCGAATCTACAAACCAAATTTCGATCCGACTCCTAGTTCCGAAGTTATGGCGTTTTGAAAACTCAGAAATCGCTAAATTTTGTGCCCATGTTAAGTCAATGGGAAAAAAGATTTTTTTGAAATGAAAAATACGAAATATAGACTGAGTTCAGCTTAATTTAATGAAAGCCTTCAAAAGAAGGGGACCTCAAAAGCCATCTAGCTTCAGAATTTGGACACCAAAATTCCTAGGTCAAAATCTAGGTCAAATTCAAAGGTTTTCCTTATTTTTGCGATTCTGACACTACACTTCAATTATATTCTTCGAAATTGTGTATACATGTAGCCAAGAGTGTGCTTATAGTGTTAGCCTTTTGCCGTCAGAAAGTATTTTGACCCACTTTTGAGATATGGTGTCCGAAAAGTAGGTCAAAATAAAAAGTTCTCAAAATTTAACGTATGAGTTATGAATTAGGAATAGAATTTTGTCAGGAATCCGAATCTGCAAATCAAATTTCGATCCGACTTCCGCTTCGGAAGTTATTACACGTCGCACGAAACAGGGGACAATTAGAGTAACATTATGGCGTCAAAATACAAAAACAATGCAATGGGCAGTATAGGGCGCAATCAGCTATATAACGTCAAAAACGACAAGCGTTACATTTTGTCAAGTTTAGTCAACCTAAAAATAAGATGCTTTATTCTTATTCAATCCTGGTGAAATTCACAGAGCAAGAAGATCTCGAGGACAATATTTCTAAAATGTTTTTGATTTTTGAAAAACGGTCAGGAAATCCACTCGGGGCGTTAGTAAAAATTGATATGTATGAGATTTGTGGTAAAAAATCGATGCGTTACATTTTTTCAAGTCTCTAAAAGCAACTCTTATTCTCTTATTATATGAAAAATAAAGAAATCGGTTATTGTTTTGTAAATTTCGCCATGACAATATTGTGCAGTTAATTTTTTTTTGAAATCAGACCTAAATTAGAAGGTTAAATAAAGGTAAACTTATTGCTTGTCTCCTTCGGCTTCAAAACCTTACACAATTTTGAAAATCTTAAAAGCGTTCATATAAGACGATTTGAACTGTAGCCGCTAGGCAATTGTGACGTCATAAAAGCACATGTTTCAATGAATAAAATGTGAAATTTTAGTTAAATTCTGATCAGTATTTCAAAAGTTATTCCGATTTCAACGAACCGTGTAAGCGTGAAATGTTACGCCTTACAGCGTATTTGACGATGTCGGACTACATTTAACTTAAAAAATATGGTAGATCCCATCATACCTTTAAAGGAAAAATAATTTCAGTGAAATACGAATAAAAAATACTTCAAAATGATATATAATACACATAGTTCGCTTTTTGAATAAGGCAGATATTAACGCTTAAAGCTGAGATTAGCCCGTATTTCCCGAATTGTCCCCAGGTTCGTGCACGTCATATATGGCGTGTCCGAAAAGTAGGTCAAAATAAAAACTTTCCAAATTTAACGTATGAGTTATGAATTAGGGGTA